AGAATTTTGCAGATTATCGTTCTTAAATTGTCCTTGTTTTCTTTGAGTCACATTTCAAGCTCGATTTCCATGCTCTGTTATCTAAACTTACATCTTTATAATGTTTCTATGTTTCATGTCACAGATTCAAGATCCAATCTGATGGCAAACAGCAAACCGTAAGTGAGCTTTACATGGACAAAATTGTCCTACGGAACAAATGAAAGTATCCAGGCAAAAAGCATGAACTCCGATATTTTAATTGTGCTCACTTTTTTCGTTAGAGTATCGTATAAATGACACGTATGTGGGAACGTGGGAATACTGAAATAAAGTCGTTGTTGTTGTTGTTATTGTTGTTGCATGCAAGCAAATAAGCATTAATTATCTTAATTCTTTATGTGAAGCCATATTTTCCTCTTCGGTAGTCTTCCAAGGCGCCGTCCTCCTGAGTTCACTGCGATCTTAATGTTCGAATTTTGGAGGGAAGCGACGGCTACCTCTGTTCCAGGCTTGCTCTGCCAATCCGGTCGCCGTCGCGCCAAAAACGTCTCTATCTTAATTTCCCTAATGATAGCGAAGGACTGTACAGAACGACTGTCTGCCGTTGCCTTGTCCGTAAGCCTCATTATTCCGCGCGGCTAATGCGTTTCGGGTCACGTGGTCCGAGCGAGTTCGCCACCGAAATGCCTTGACCGAGATTGCGTGGGAAGACGCCGTACAGGGACTAGGCCTGGCAATGTCTACGTAGCGTCAGAGAAAAACAGGGAAATGCTGTTTATGGGCAACGTGTTTTACAAACAGTGACATCTCTGCGTGTTGTCTCATTAGTGTTTCGACGGCACGACCTCATGCAAATCACAAATATTAATCCCTAGCAAGAAGCCACACTTTCGCTGTGGAAAAAATTAGTTCCCTGAGAGAGTGGGGGAAATGGAGCCTAGGTCTTGGTCAACACCTAAAAGGCGCTTCGCCTAACGTGCGTACGGAGTCACACTAGCAGGGAAATAAAAAACGTAACCATAAATGAGTTTAGCACCTCCCTTAAAAGTAGCAAATCTATGGAACAGTTCCTTTTACGGTTTACTCTTTTTTACTCTATTTACGGCTAACGGTTAAAATTTTTCAATTTTTACGGCTATCGACTAAATTTTTGGCCGTTTTACGCCTATCGGTTAACCCCATTGAGACCCTCTAACACCCACCAAATTACGCCATGTCACGTGTCTCCGGAGGTCAAGTGTCGCGTTCATGTCTCGCCACAGGTCAGCCAAAGCTCACTATGAGAGCCCTAATACTGAACAACATTTATCCTACTTAGCTAATTAATTATTCATACAAAAACAGTTATAAGGCGTTGTATGAGAATTATCTTATTTCTCCATAATTGAGCGAAACGTACATTAATTTTTTCCTTTTAGTATTTTGTTATGTTTATTTCTGTGTTAACTACGTTTCAGGGCTCTCGGGATGCCAATAACCCGAAAACAACAATACCCATCTAAGCTAAATAATTATTCATACAGCAAGAAACGTTGTATGGAGAAATATTCTTTGCTCACCAAATTAGCCAAATGTGCATTGAATATCGCTTTGAAGCTTACCTTTAGCGTCTTCTTATTTTTCTGTGTATCTTGACTGCATTTCAGACCTCCTAGGCACTGTTTAATACCTTTTTTGAGCGAGGTTTTTCACCTAGATGACATTAGAGAGAAGAGAACATAACAAAATACCAAAAGGAAAAATTTAATGTACGTTTCGCTCAATTATGGAGAAATAGGATTATTCTGATGCGGCAATGTCTTATGACTGTTGTCGTATGAATAATTAATTAGCTAAGTAAGATAATGTTGTTCAGGGCTCTCATAGTGAGCTTGGGCTACCTGTGATCTCGCAAAGAAAATCTATGAGGATGGTCAAAACCATGCAACCTTAAAAGATGAACAAATGCAAAATAGGTCTTAGCAAAAAGGCCCTCAGCAGGACATGTTTTCTCCAGATGGTGCACTTTGTTTATCTCGTTTATCGACGACTGTCAGGAGCCCATCAAATTTGATGGGCTCCTGCGACTGTAAAAGGATTCTCGCGATTATCTCAGTTGACTCCGTTCAGCTAAGATAAACAATGACAATGAATATCATCGAAGACATTGACCTAAAATTTACACAAACTATCAAAAACCTTACATTGGAACGACTTCAAAGCGAGAATATGAAAGTTTTGTCGAAACACCAGGTAAAAAATGCTGAGAAAGTTTCAGAATAGCAGCTAAATTGCGGTGGGCTATGCCTTAAACGTGTTGTAGATATACGTCATAAATTGGCGATAGCATTAAAACGGAATCAGTTTTTAGTTTGAACAGTTTTAAGGTAGGCACCTCTGCAGGGCTGATATCGGTAAAGGTAAAGGTGGCCATCACTGTCGGACACTAACTGAGGAAGGGTGGCGTTAAAGCTATTGCTTGGTGTTTCAAATCTGGATACTTTCGACTCTTGACAACCTTGGCCTTGTAAATGAATTGTTATCATCGTTTTATTAATAGCTCACTTCGGAAAAGAATGATAGCCTGGGATCCAAACTAAGCGCGCGCGCATTTATGGGATTGTCGACAAGTCGAGCAAGCCACCTTGAATTATGACGAGACATGCAAGTTGTTGTGTGGCTTTGTGCACAACTAACTTCAGGAACTCACCTGGTCTGGCATTTTATAGAATACCAAAGGTAAGCACGTTTCAAGCGAGAATATCAGCAGAATATTTACGTTTTATTCGAAACACTAATTTGAAGCTGTTTCACTGTGCATTCTCCTGGTTTTTCTCAAGATAAAATCACCCCAGGAACATCTTCTTCCTTCAGCTTTAGCTGTTTTAACCCCGCTGAAACATTCCACTTCGCTTTTAGCCATGTTTGTTTACATTCGCTTCGCGTTCCCCCAAATAATCTCATAAATGCGCGCGCCTAGTTTCGGTCCCAGGCTATCACTCTTTTCCGAAGTAAGCTATTTCAAACGAAATTGGAAGGACAAGTTATGCTAAAGTAAACAGAAAATGAAAGCTGAGAACACTCCTCTTGCCTCCCTCCCGCTTTCTTTCGTACGTCGCCCGATAAGCAATAGGAGACTACTGGAAGAAATGAAGACATGCAAATATTTTAGTCAACTGTATTTGCGATATATAACTCTTGCAACAATAATAGTCACGATTTCATTAATTTATAAACAACTGAATGGTAAATTTCCCAACTGATATAACAAGCTGCGATCGGAAAAAAGTCTCATTTCACTGAACCGGCCCCATTGTATATATATATTCTATAATTAATTTTCGCATTAGATGCATCTCTGAAGTGTTACTTGAGTGAAAAAAGGTTTTTCAATTACATAATGTAGTATATGCAAAATGTTTACAGACGAAAATCTTGGGACTAGCACGGTCTGTTAATCCTATTTTATTCTCTTTATCATTTAACAGTACAAGCATCAACATTTCTGGTTCTATGAATGCTCATAGGCGTACGGGCCGGGGGGGGGCGAGGGGGGCTGCAGCCCCCTCAAATTTTGGGCAACTCAGATTTTTTTGGGCAGCAAGAGAAAATTTGGGCAAAGCCATTTTTTAAAGACGTTTCCGTGTTTTTTTTTTATTAGTTTAAAGACACAAATATTTTCTATTTTAATCTGAAAAATATCCTGAAGTCAGTGTAATAATCCAGTTACATTCTCTCGAGACACTCACAGTGGTTGCTTAGCACGTGATGAGTTTCTGGCTATAGGGAAGGGTATCATTTGTTGATTTACATATTTATAGTTTTTTATTGTTGAGCACTGTAGTGCACTGCACTGACTGGAATGGGCTCTTTCCAGTCGTGAATTGATTAGAATAAACTTCCGCATATCTTCCTAGAATCATCTCCGCCCGTAGAAGAATGTATGGTAGATAGCATACAGCAACAGTGGGTGTGAAAATGAAGAAGTGGCTGACTAGAACTCAGCTGGAATTACGAGACGAATATTAATTTTTTTTCATAATCTATCAAGCAATAATTTATTAAAGTAGACCGACATGTTTACAAAACCGCTAACAAGAGCGCCTCGATACATACTAATGAAATGGAATCTTCTCTCTAGCGATCGGCAGGAGCTACCTCCATGATCTTTTACACACGTTTTTAAAAAGATTGAAGCTACTATGAAGTGAAATTGCATGTCAAAAGAGATTCGTTTTCTATAGATAACGGCCAAACATCAAGATTATTTTTTAGCATGTTTCTAAAACTTCATCCCAAAATATCCCGATAACTCTTTTATAGATTCCATTTTAACTTCACGAACATCGACGCAACTGTTGGAGAAAAAAGTTGCCGTGAACGATTTTGTAGGAACAGTTCCCAGTGCCAAGAAATATTGCTGCAAGTAAAATAGACAATGGCGTCATTTCGTTGCTATGACAACTCCCATGTCATTAAAACCTATGAAAAATTTTTATCTATATCTAATAAAACTATGGTAGCAATTTTTCCAAATGTTTGTCTATGGCGACGTAGTTATGCTCAGAATTGGGAAGTATTGACCCTGAAAAACTGTTACAGTATCGAGCCACCTTCATATGCCAGTACGGCCCACGTTGTTGCATCGTATGGCCCTCGTTTCTTTTCTACTGTTTCGTAAAAATTTGGGCAACTTGGGGGAATTTTTTGGGCAAATAGTTTACCGCCCCCCCCTGGCAAAAAATTGCCCGTACGCCTATGTGAATGCTGTCTTGGTTGGGGTTTGGATTGTAGACATTCTTGTCAACCAACCAATTTCTTCTAAGTTCCTCAGCACTCTTATAACATAGCTTTTTGTTATTATATATCATTATTTAGAAATAAGTGCAAAGATCGGTTATCCAAATCTCTGATTCACAACTGATTTTGCTACATTTGAGGCAGAAAGACCTCTAACAGCCTCGTTGAGTTTGCCCATCAAAGCGGAGGTTTCTCCTGTGTTCATCCTTAAGATACTGACATGTTTTGCTAATCTTCAATTAATTACACCTCCCCTCTTTGATAACCTGACTTCCACTTATTAGCTCAGACACCAAATACATCAACTGATTCCTTACTTCGTGCAGGTAATAATCATCCATTATGTCATCTATCTCAATGATCTTCGCTCGTGCATAAATTGTCTTCTTCTTTTGTTGGACTTCATCTTTGAAGTGGTCATCGTTTTGCGAAGAAATTACACCATTCAATTCATTGTCAGTTTTGGAATTTTCATCCACATCTGGCCTCCGTGTGGATCTGCCACTGGTAGAAAACCGTTTGTTTTTCTTTCTGCGAGCTTTATCGTTATCGTTTCCCTTCACATCAGCGCAACTCAGGTTGAAAATATGTTTGACGCCGAACGTGAACTTTTGAGGAAGTTGCTTAACCTTTCTGGAAAAGTTGTCGAACATGAACGAACCCGCTTCAGCGTCTTGGAAGTCTTCACCGTGGTCTTCTCGAATTTCGGTGTACGAATCAGCAATCACGGCGACGAAAATGCTTATCAGAATACAGATCGTAAACAAGAAATAGAGAGAGAAGAATATCAGTTCGACCTGCGAATTCATAAGGTATATTTCCACATAGTCAACTTGTTTTCCGATGGACATTAACAAGTTTGTCTTAACTGAATTAAACAGCGACGAGAAAGTTGATGCCTGGCTGCCGAAAGCAATACAAGCGAAGTAAGTAAAAGCCATTATCCCGATTCCAAAGACAAAAACAAATGATATGAGCGGCCTCGCAGATCGCTTCATAGTCCCTTGCATTTGGCAGATGTGTTTATTGAATCGAATTAGCCTCAGCAACTTCAGTGTTAGGATAAAAATAGTCGCGGCGAGCCACCCGATCTCTTGAGAGGACCATTTTAGCAGGTAGTCAGGGCTAAATGTTTCATACGGGTTTTCCTGAACATTTCTCACATACAAAGTGGTGTATTTTCCCTTCAGGAATGATGTAACCACAGCTAAAGTGCAGACAACAAGCAATAGTAATTCAATCCAATTCCACAACTGACGAAGATACTGGGTCTTTTGTCGTATGAACTTCACCAACTCCACAATGAAGCAAACCACGATAACAATAAGGAACACAAGCTGGCATACTTCGTAAAATGATTGAAACTTATTGTTAGAAGACGGATAAAGTGATAGGGTAGTCACGTATGTGTTGGCAACAGCCCCACCTGTGCGTTGTGTTTCAAAGGTGTATTTTCCAAACGTGAATAGCGAGGTCGCTGGGTTAAATAGAGTGAACTCTATGAACACCACTGCGGTTGATTCGTCGATCCATCCGTGTTCCTTAAGGTCTCGCGCAACATCTATAGCTGTTTTATTATTGTAGCCTAGCGAAGCAACGTACCCTCCACCATCATAACCAAGATATGAAAGAGATCCTAGGGTTTCTTTCGACTGATACCTCCACGCTTGTGGATAGAGTTCGTAAGGATTATGCGATTTGTTGTGAGTTGTTACTGGAATCCACCCAGGGAGATTAAAAGCGGCCCTGTCTTCGTCGTCGGATGAGTATGCAGGGCGACATATTTTAAAACGATCTTTGAAATTGAGAGCATCATTTAGGTAGCACTGTTCTGAAAGATAGAAATGAAGACAACAAATTTGAGTTAACTTGAATAGCTGTCTTGTACACTGCACCCCCATTTTAAGCAAACCGCATTAGGACCACACAAACTGACCTTGAAATATTCTCAGTCAAATGGTGTTTTGTGGGTGTGTGTGAATCTACCTTAACAAGATTAACGTAAAGACTATCTAGATCCGTCATAAAAAATAAGGAGAATAACTCATAAGGGGTATTTTTATCCAAAATACTGCACTGTAAATCTTGCTATGCAGTAACTTTGTCATCACCACAGCAATAAAATTGTTATAGTTCTTACTTAGTTTTAGCCGCAACTGCCGGAGACGTGGCATCCCAATCATAAACTCTTCATGGTTGCTGATGTATCCTTCTTTGTATTCAAATTGTCTACCATTATACCACATTGCATCATACAGACCAGTGATAAGATTTCCTTCAATCCATTCCCAGAAAGAAGCCGTATCGGTAACCTGTGTTTGGGACACAAGATAAGGTCACAACAATAAAGGAGAACCAGTTGCAAAAATATTTATAGGCATGCTAAAAGTTTTATAAAAATTGTCGATAGATAGTTGTAATTGTGACTAACGGGCTGTTTACATCCGGGCACCCGGAAGATCCTAGAAGGCGGATAATCCTAGCGCTATATGTTTTCTGTATTCAGTTTACATGCAAAGGGTTGTACTTGTCCCTGGCGCTAGGATTCCTAATTGAGAGGTAGGAAGATCCTAGTACTAGAAAAATCCTAGCACTATGTAAACTGCCTTAAGGAAGATCCTAGTATTAGGGACAGGCCAGACAAAAATGGCTGCAGGTCGTTTAGTGGGTAATCATGGCAATAACGGTCGAACATTATTGTGATAATTCTGCTTAAAGGTAGTTATTAACGCCGTTAAAGAGAGAAGAAGCGCCCAAACGGCATGGTTTTTTTTGTCACCCGCCATCTTTAATCCTTTCTCTACTTGATGACCTCACGGACCAAAATTGCTACATGTAAAGCCAACAAAAAGTTGTTCCGCCTTCTAGGATCTTCCTGCTGGTACTAGGATCTTACTCCATCCATGTAAATATCCCGTAAGATTCTTATGTTTTGAATTCTCAAATGAAGGCAAATTTGTTGAACTGGTTACTTAATGTACCATTTTGTACAAAATCGACGACAAAATTGTTGAAAAATTTTAACAAATAAGGCAACTTCAGAGAACAAAACAATCCACCCCTTCCCCCTCCATTCAAAGAAGAGGTGTTTTTTGTTTTCTACAGGTAGCTCGAACACCTGCACAACATTGCAAGGAGGGGATGGGGGAGGGAAAGCTTTATTTCCCCCTTTTGTACTCGGGTAAAACGTTAGGAAAGTCCTTTAGGGCAAAGTGTGGCAATTGTTGAAAAATTTTAACAAATAAGGTAACTTCAGAGAACAAAACAATCCACCCCCTCCCCCCTCCATTCAAAGAACAGGTGTTTTTTGTTTTCTACAGGTACGAACACCTGCACAACATTGCAAGGAGGGGATGGGGGAGGGAAAGCTTTATTTCCCCCTTTTGTACTCGGGTAAAACGTCAGGAAAGTCCTTTAGGGCAAAGTGTGTCAACTAATTTTGTCGCCAATTGTAGTTTGGGCTACCGAACAAACATTAAAGCAAAGCCATCATAGCATTCTAATAGGAAAATACTTCTACGCTTACTTCTTCAAAGTCAGCAGCGAATGAGTCGTTTACAGCCTTAGTTATGTGGTATCGTGCAACGTCCTGATTCCCATAACAAATTACCATCAACAGAAATGCGAATACCAGAAAGGTTAAAATGTCTTTTGATGCTTCTAACGCCTTTCTACTTTTAATGCTCTGTTCCTTTTCTCTTTTAAGATCAGTCGGTGATAAGCAACTTGCTTTACGGCCAAGTTTATTCTTGTAAAAAGATGGTCCCACAACAGAGTCTATCTTTGGTGGTTTTCTTATGATGAACGACAACAGCGTCGCAAGGGCGACCACTTTAATTGGCTGCGAGATAAGCACATCTTGAGCGAGAGACACAGAGATAGATGTTACCCACTGGTTGGATTTATCTGCACCCCATTGCATGCTATAAAGAATGGTGAAAAAGGCCCCAGTTATCGACACTAGGAAACACAAGGCCCAGGCAATATACAAGACGAAATGTGGAAGGAAACCGGAACGCTGCCTTTTATTTCCGTCAAGGACAAAGGAATCATATGAATCTGCTTGCTTGATATTTTGGAAGATGAAGACCATGAGAAAGTTGATCGGAATGCATATGACACTACTCTGTATGCCTATTTTAATTTGCGTCCAGCTGATTGTCAGTGGCCCCAATTTGAACGTGTCAGTCAAGGGTTTATCGAACTGGTAAAACATAGCATTCGTCACCATTGCAGCAAACAGAAAGGAAAGACAGCACGAGAGTCTTTGACATCGTGTGAAGGGATTGTGACTAGGCCTTGTGAACACTGAAATCCAAAGATGACCTTCTCCTAAGCTGCGTGATACCCTGGAGATGAACAGATTCTTGAATGCGATAAGCTCCTTTCCCTCAGCAACCTAACAGGAACAAATTTAATGGAGCAAAGTATTTAGATGCCTCGATCTGCCCCTTGTCTATATACATACACAAAATGGTACACCGATTGAAGGTACTAACACATAAAGAAAACTTTGAAAATAAAAAGTAACCACAAACTGAATGTCTTTTGAAAAGATAAGGTAACAAAAGTGCTTCATAATTTACGATTATGGACCCGGGTAATCAACAGGAGCAAAAACAGACGGAAGGAATCTAAAATCTGTAATTTTACAATAAAGCTAAAAATTGAAACCGAAAAGCAATTTTTAGTAGATGATTAGAACAGTACTTAGACCTGAGACCTCTTGTCACTTAGGGGCCACCATTACACACTTAACTAAATGAAATAAATAATCATTAATAGTACACCATGTCCAAGAGATCCCAACGAATCTTTATTAGTCTTCTGACGTACAAATTGTAGTATTTAAGGAAATTATGCTCTAGGACGTTCTTTAAGAAAACTCCTCAACGGCAGTCTCACATACCGACAACAGTGCCGACAATTAGTAGGCTCAGCAAAACGTAGGTTTGTGTGATAGAAGTATCTACAGGCTGTTTAGCTTTAGACTAGCCTAGCAGAGTCAGTAGTTGAATCCGTGTAGGAATCGTAAGCGTTACTAAACAATGATTGCATCTCTAGTCTATCTGGCCTGTCCCAGTGATAAAGATCACGTTATGCCATAGCTATTCACTCTACCCTGGAGTTTGCAGATATCAAGTCACAGCAATTTACATTAAATTTATTTCTGCATTTAGGTTATATGTATAATAAAGAAAGAGTTAAGAGGATCCTTCAAAATACTTGTGTTTCAGGAGGAGAATAGAAATCTTCGCCGATGAAATAAAGTACCTTACCTTGAGATGTAGCTGAGTAACACCGGCTCCTTTATCCAAAGCAAGCCACTGATTGGCAAAAAAGTACCACTCCCTTTTTGTTTGTACATCAGTGATTAGAATTTGTTGTAGGTACCAGGATGGACGGCGTCCACTATTATCATGCCACACGTAGACACCTGTTAGGTCCCCTAGCGGTTTTTTGACGAAAATGGTGAAGTTATTGACACTGGCTCGCGAGAAGAATTTGCGGGAAATCGGCATATCGTTTAAAGAAAGCACATTACTGGATCCTTCCTTTCCTGATATTATCATCCCGACTTTCGCAGTTGTTCCGAAATCGTTCCACATTCCTGTTTGGATACTAACGTCGTATTGATATCCATTCGACTCAACGCTTCCGTCACCCAACAGCACATGCGCCACAACCTACAAATGAACAACATATAATCTTTTTGTTTAAGATTTTTGGAAGAAGACATGTAAGCAAGTTCTGAAGTGTAATGATATTGCAGATAAGTACAAAGTTGATCTTATTCATCCTATTTATCTCGATTCCAACAGCTGGATCGATGGGTCAGCAATCGAAAACAGATGTTTCCTACCAACAAACCGTATCAGCACTACCACTTTTCCATAAGTAACAGCGAAACTCAGTAAAACAATCTGAAGTTAAATGAATGTGGGGATAGTTTTAGAGCAACCTCTACAGACGTTTGTTTTGTACATTTATGACGGTGCTGGTAAGAAGATTGAAAGGCTGACAATTTGAGCATAACAAATTCGACAGAACTATTTCAATCAGCCAAGGAGTCGACCATTCGATCATTCTAGCGCTAGTGCTTTGTCCGCCCACCAGGGAATCACCGACTGAGCTTTGTATACATATTCATTAGTAGAACTACTAAAAAGGTGGCAAATGAGAACGTTGTGCGAAAATATGAATCAACAGTAAAATGATAAAATATGAACACTTACTTTAAAGTTGTCATTTTTGTCAGCTCTACGAGCAAACACGAGACCAATGAAATAAATTCCAGTTATGACACACACTGTAGCCAGGACCACGACGTTTTTTGTCTCCCCTAGTTTAGTAAACTTTATGAAAACTGTATCAAAGTCGATCGGATTTGGCGCTACGAATATACTTCCTCCAAATGCCGAAAGATGGTTGCATAAGCAGTGGAGTTGCTCATTAGTGGTCTTTGATCCCAGCTGTTGGTTGAACATGCAATGAAACGATTAATTGCAAGAAATGCTGATAATAACAATAATAATAATAATAATAGTAATTATAATTAATAATATAGTCAACTGTCTCTTAACAGCAACCTATATAAGAGGGACACCTACCTTATTTTATCTTGTGTATAATTATGTTTTGTCGTGTGTAATTATATGGCGCTGTTTTCCGCTTAGTGTCCAATGCGCTTACTTAGATAGATTAAAAAATTAATATTAATTTGAATGTAATGGAAACAATAAAGAAATTTAAACTATATTTGATTCTGCATATTAAAAGAGATATATGAATTAAAAGCTGTTTAGAATAAAATTAAGGTGTTTTAGTCAAGCTGGTAGCTAAAATTCATTCAACGACAGTGACTTTCTTATTTCATAAAGGACGATCCATTCTATAAATGGGGAGCTGCAATGGAAAAAGATCTATGTCGATACGCTTTTATCCTACTATTCGGTATAACGAAAAGTTTCTTGACTGCTAGAACGTATACAAACCTATAGTACTTCCGGTAACTTAAAGATAAAAAACTTCACGATGGGGCCAGACCACGTGGAGCTTAGTAGAAAGCAAATACAATTATGATGCACAGGCAACCAGAAAAGCTCGGTTAAAACAGAAGTACTACATTTGATCGAATTCCTTAGTATGTGTAATTACACGCCGAGTTGCTGGTGTAAACTGTTGGTAAGAGTTACAAGAATCACCTTTGGAGCTTATAAATGCATGAAAAAAGATTTTCAAAAGTTTTCTGACTAAAGTATTTACGAATCTTAGCTATGTTCCTTAATGTAAGAAGGTGGTTTAAAAGTTTTCTTGATACAGTTTTCTTGATATGCTTCTCCATGTTTAATGAATTGAATGATCAATTTCTACTTTTAAATTACGCACGGCTTGTGTAGAAGCAATATTTTCATTAACAGCTCATGTGCCAAATAGTTGGGCCTAGAGCTACAGTTAATATAATATTACTTCAGTTCATCCTGGTTTAACTCCCTCAGTGACAAACAGATAGCTTCATACTCGCCATAATCTCTTCTTCCTATTTATATATATCAGTCTTTCTTCAGTACCAGAATATAAGGCTACATCCACACGAATGCGGATATTTTGGAAACCCATACTTATTTAAACGAATCGGCCTTCCCTCCACACGAAACCAGTGAATCCACACATTGTTTTTAAAATGCACTCCAAAACACTTGAAGAGAGCATCCATACCAATCAGCAGATAAAGAAAAAAATGCGGTTTCAGAAATGTCCGGATTCATGGCCTAAAACTCACAAACAAATGATTTTGGAAGTGACAGTGAAGGCAAATCCTCAATATTATGCAGAAGAATGCACGTGTTGATGACACCCATCTTGAAAAAGGCCTCAAATTTAGGCCCGCGTGTGGACGGGGCCTTTAACAACTCTGGACAACGGTTTCATGAAAGTGCGGTTTCGGTAAGCGGTTTCAAAAATATCTGGATTCCTATAGACTTGGCCTTAAACATCTTTGTTTTCCAACGAATCGACACTCTCACGGACGATATAAGCTCATTGTGCCGAAAGGTGACATGCCTAGACATACATGCTGAGGAAGACTCGCGGGCACGACCTTGCTAAACCCCGGAATGTTTCATGCGCGTTATAAAATCAATTCAGATTCTAACCTTGTTCGTCTATTCCCTATGCGTCTGAGATGACTGTGGGTAAGGCAAACAGAGGATTATCTAAATTTCGTCAGGTGCGGAGTGAAAATCAGCTCGAAACTACTAAAGGTGGTTTTACAATTTTCTTTCTTTTTCATAGGGAGATTCATACCTTGCATCCATCTTTAATCCAAGCCTGTTTGCTAACCGACCAGTAGACACATTCTGGCATGGTGATAAGCATAGTGTAGTTCACATCTGTGCTTCCATTATACGGTGGTATTATAATAGTCGTTGGGGGAGAGGTGGTAGGGGGATATTTAAGTCGGATGTACGATCGTTTCTCTCTACCACAGCCCACACCGCATGACCTAGTTTTCCGAGCAGTCACTTTCGAGTTGTTTCTTGATGGGATTGCAGCTGTATTTGCCAGACGAATGCCAATGTAATGAACGCCTGTTTGGCCCGTCAACGTGCTTGAAAAGAAAAACACGAACGCGCTACTTGTACAGTTCATGTATGCGCGTTTGTTATAAGATGATGTGCACGATGACAAGTCAGGGATTCTTTTACTAAGACTGTGATTTCTTTCAGTTGGTTTTCTGCCACCGCTCACAAAGACATCAAAAGCAGCGTTATCTGAGGGCCGTAGTTTTACAAATGCTATCATATCATCAGAATCTAGATACACTTTGTGATACTGAAGAGTATTACCAGGCTTGATAAACAAATGGTCACTAGAATCATTCCCTTCGCCGTCTGTTTGCATTATTACAGGTAAAAAGAGACTCAAAGGTTCTTTAAGATCGGAAATGTTCATCAACGATCCTTCTTCCGTTTTCAGTTCAAACTTTATAACAGGCGAAGAGATGTTTTTTGAGCTCTCGTCCCAGGTGTAAGGATTTTGGTTCAATAAAAGCATCTGAAGAGGAAACACAAATAATGAAACTTTTCAAAACGGTGCCACCAGCGACAAGTGTAATATGATTAAAAAATCATTGTTCCGTTTGTCTCACATAGACTAGTACAAGACCCCTCAAGCATGTTTGAACATGCAATTAAATTTGCTTTAATTTTTCTGACTATTTGAGTTTAAAATGAAATTGCCACTACTACCACTACTGTTAGTAATCATGCATATTCTGTGAATGCTAAATCAGGCTTAAGTTGTGTTAAACATTGCATACCACTCACTCACCTGAGCGTCCACGTAACTTGACGAAAAATTGTAGTTTGCAAAAAGTGTTTCAGAAGAGGGTAAGATTACGCGTTTCTCCTGCTGTGTTCCCAAAGTCCGGTTTCCCATAATTGCCGGTTTTTGCCGGTCAAGGATCATCAAGAGTGTTGAAGTGTTCAGTGAACTGGGCTCCTCACCAACAGCTTTAGTGGACAACAAAGTGGCCCCTAATTTGTCGATGAGTGAGAGGGTGTTTTCTGTGGCACTCTGTAAATAAATAGAAATGAACGGAAAATTCTTCGCAAATTTTTTTGTGACCTGACAAATGTAAAGGCCACCTCTGAGAATTAAGGTAAGACTAGAGCGAACAAAGTCTACTCAATGTTGCTTGCTTCATGAGATCGGGACCTTACGAATTTACCACAGTGACGGCAACGGGAATCGTATGAAACACAAAAGGTTCGATCAGTGAGCAAACGACAAATCTGCATGTGATTTCTCTTGCCAAAACTACGACGTGAAATAACCAAATTTTAAGGTCCCGTTTATATGGAGCCAAGTTGTTCCAGGATAGCGCCAACTTTATTCATACATTTCAATACAAAACGTGGCGGCCCGTTTACATGAGAAAGTAAACGTTGGCTCTGCTAGAGGGGAGGTCCCACGGCCGAGTCAAATCACCCGGTCACCCTCTTAGCCTGGCCAAATTTTCTCAATATAAACACTCTGGCTGGCCCAGCCTGGTAAACTCGGTCGAGGCGAGGCAATCAAAGCATGCTCGAGCTGTTTTAGACAATTAGAGCATGCGCGAGCACTGTTAGCTTGGAAAAAGGAGTCAGCCTTTTTCTCCATTAAACGTTCGCTCAAAAGGTTGACGCGGCAGGAAGGGTGAACATTCTGCCCGGTACAGGTTTTCTCCATATAAACGGCGCCTAAGTTGATTACAGAACAGGTACAATGTACAACGGCAACGCGACAAATTTTGCCATATCTGTCTGAATTCGACTTGAATTCAAAACCAACTTAATTTATTCCCCTACTTTCAAGTGGATGTAATTTGGAGAAAAAGTGGGAACAGAAACGAAAAGACGTAGCCAGGACGTGTTCCCCGACCCTCGTTGCTCCTAGTTGTAATTAGTCCTGAAGGACTAGTTCATTACCTCACGTGTTGCCTGGCTAAAATAAGTCATGAAATTACCTGACAAGTTAACTGAAGGAAAAATAGAAGTTTTTAAATAACAAGATGATTTTTTGCAAACAAAGAATTCATGTACGTCATTAGCTAAACCAACCTTTTCAAATATAGTTCCTTCATAGTTTGCACCTTTGTCTGCCGTAATGGTTCCGATTGCGTTAGAAATGCCCTTAAAAACAACCCCTCCTACGCTTTGGACCGCATCTTTGTCATAACCACCCTCATCAACGTGTTTCCAGAGATAATCAGTCAAGGTTTCCAGAAGATTAACGCTGTTATTCTGAGATAAATGAAAGAAGTAATTTAAAGGAGTGCAAGAAAAAGTAATTGCCTTCGACGCGGAGAGGAGAACGCAACAAATAATCATGGGGTTCCTGTGGTACTTGGGTATCTTTTGTTACTCAAGGGTGACCTTTTCAGCCAGCGTTTTTCGTCGTACGTCTGCATTTTCTGCGCCATTTTGAATCATTTAACTCGTGTTATTGATGTCATATGCGCAAATAGCAACTGCGCACCTCGTGGAAAGTAGTTTTACTGAAGATTGAAGACCCTGACGCTATTTTAATTTTGTGCGCACGTGCATTACTCTGGTTCGATCAAGGTCAATAAGATGACGCAACTATGTTAAAGAACGGAGTTATTTGGGTTAGGCAAGTGAATGAAACAGGTTGGAAATGTTTTCAAAGCTGGTTTTACCGCTGAGCTGGCGATTCTGCTACACCTTCCTTAGTTAATATGTTAATATACCGGTCAAATCGAGCTGAAACAGAAAGACACATCACAGGTACCATTTGCCGTGAGGAATTTACCTAAGCGTTTTAGTCTATCATTGAGTCTATTCATGTATTGTATTTGTAGTTTTACTTCACAGTCACATGCACGAAAAACATTTTAGGATAAAGTACGTTTGAAGACTTTTACCCGCGTATCATATACCTGCCAACTTTTTCTGAGATATAAGCGTGAGATTTTTATCCTGGGAGTTCTGGGATTTTTGCAGACGACATGATCATTTCCGAAGATTCCCGAAGAAGTCCGAAGTCTTCCGAAGAAGTCCGAAGACGTCCGAAGTCTGCCGAAGGCGAAGTTATCGAGAAAACGCTTATCCACAAAATCAGAGATCGCGAGGAAGGTATTGTTATTTATTCATTTACACATGGTTTTCGTTCCTGACATGGGTCTGAGTTAACATATTTTTGGAAATTGTGTCAAGCAAGAGGGCAGCAACTCACATTTTTCAATCAGGCGTGAGAAATTGGCCCGCAGGCGTCAGCCGGCGTGAGATCGAAGTTTTCAACCCGCAGGCGTGAGACTCACGCCTAAGGCGTAAGAGATGGCAGGTATAGTATCACAGGGGAACCCAACGAGAATATAGTTCAAAACCACTTAAACAAAGCACTGTTAAACGTATTTTAGTATTTAAAAGGTGGATATTGGCATATTTTTACCTCTTAAAAATTTTTCATCTGTTCGGATTTCCTAGCTGAAAGTCTAATGATCCGAAAATTATAGGGATCAAAACTTACCTTTTCGAAAATTTCAGCCAGTAAAAGGGCTCCGGAAAATTCTAGGTGACCTTTTTAGTGTAAAAATCCGTTAAAAATGGGCAATTATACCATTCTTTTTCAGATGTTCGAAAATCCTAGGAGAGGCAGGCAAGCAAGAACTTTTACAACAAATGTTCTGCAAATTCGTCTACCGAACAGACATTTTCCGAAAATTGACGTTGGGTGCCCCTGGTATCAGTTTATAACACATTAGCTACACATTTGCTTTTCCGACGCGGGATTTTGTAGAAAAGACCATCTTGCCCGCCAAGCAAGATAACTTTAAAAAAAAATTGTAAAATACCCTACCCAAACTGAAATTATGAAGATGAACAGTTTGCACAATGGCAAAAGATTTCGTCTGGTTCACTGACATCAACAATCTCGCAAAAACGTAAAATGTTTCTGTCGCTCCTATGATAATAGTTTTCACTTCAAGTGGTGTCACGCACGAAGCCAGGATAACCGTCGAGGCCGTCATGCTTTTGAAGGTTATATGATTAATAGATATGTTTATCTTGTTAACAGCATAGAACTTTTAACGATCTACTTCACATTTTTATCGACCATTCTTGAAGCCGATCTTTTCCCTATTTTTAAAATAATGCTTGAGTGTATGAAAGCTAACCTGGACGATCAAAACTCGAACGTACTCATTAATCTATCAAAATGGTTACTTATAGTACCTAAGTTTAGTAAAGAGAAGATTATTGCCCCGAAGGGAAGAGTTACATCCAGCTGTTTACCATATCAGTTCTGGTAGTTAAAATGGAAGGGAATTTGAAAAAAAAAATAAATCAGTAAATGAATAAATAAATAAATAAATAAATGAAACTCCTCACGTAGAAAGCGGTTTTTTTGTTTGTTTGCTTGCTGGTTTGTTTTTTGGGGATTCTGTCATTCTGTAGATTTTTAATTGTTTCCATTCTTATTAAATTCGAATGCTTCATATATTTTATAAAAGTTGAGATTCACAAGATGGGTAGGCCCAAGTCACCAAGCGATAGAGTAGTTGTTGACGTTAGTAACTTTCTTTAAAAACGAAAACAGTTCATTTTAGAAAAAGAGCTATAAACCTGTGAGTTTTTGGCCGTAATATCAAAAGAAGCGATTACAAGAGCCACCGAAAACTAGAAGGATTTCAAAGGGGAAAACAACTCTTGCCACCCAATCACAGTTGAGTGGTCTTAGACTCAAAGCATTGCAATTTTTTAAACCACATTAAAATCTTTCCGTTACATATTATTAAAAGCGCTAAGATTTTCTTTTATTCAGAACAGAAAATTTCATCCCGGTAGTGGAAAGATTTAACGAAAGTTAGCTCCTAATAAACAGTTTTTTTCCAAAATGAATAGTTTTCGTTGTTTTGGAGAGTTGATCACGTTACAAACCATTGCAAAAGGTATATTACACTGCTTTGTTTACTGGTAACTTACCAGCACGGAAATTGACATATCTTGTCTTCCCTCCGTTGCTTCGGTCAGAAAGTACGATAGCTGCTTAACCTCTTCCATATTTTTTACCTCTACATCCCCGAGTTTGTTTATAAAAGTGTCTTTGACCTAAAAGTGAGAATAACAGTTTAGTAAACGAGTTTGTCTTGTGCAGACTTGGAGTATATTACAGGATAGGATAGGATAGGATAAGTGCTTTATTATCAACAGAGCCCCTACAGACACATGTGTTTACAATGATAACAAAGATTTTCGTGCAATAATTACAGAGGTGTACATTTGTAAAATTTATACAACTATTTAAAAGGTTATATTTAACGCGTCTATCTCTTTCGCGGAAGCGATCATATACGTATTTAGCCACAATTTTTTGCGTTTTCTCTCCTTGCTTCATACTTATCAACGTTGTAAAGGCAGTGCTTGGAGTCATAGAGTCAAGAATAAGATTAGTTTCCTTTTTTAACGTATTGAACAGCTCTCTCCTAGGATCCCTATAGGCTATGCAATTCATCAAAAAATGCTCCTCGTCTTCTAATCCAGTTTTACAAAATGGACAGATTCTTTGGTCTGGTGGTTGATAGGGTTTAACGTATCGTCCAGTTTCAATTGCTAGTTTGTGGCTGCTTAATCTTAGCTTTGTGATTGCTACTCTATGATTGATGTTTCTTACATTTGTGAGGTAATTTTCGTAGTCATGGGTAAGTTTAAATTTCCTAAAAGTTTTTAGTTTGTTTTTTTGATGCGGGTCCTTTCGTTCATCATTGTGTATTTCCCTAATCCATGTTTGCTGTTCTATGTCTAAGAGTCTCTGTCGTATATAGTTCATGATTGCGGGAGTGTTAGTTTTCGCTGACCATATGTCGCCAAGACCTGCGAGATTTAATAGTCGTTTTAATTTGCTTGACCAAAGTTCCTTTTTATCTTGACCAATTTGGTCTGTAAATGCTATTCCAGAGAGTTTATTTTGGTGCTCCGGCTCACAAAATTTCAGCCAATATTTGTGACCCTCCACAGGAATTTGATGCTAAAGGTGAAAGCAAGCGCACGACACTCTTGCACGACACGCTTAGCGTGCCGTAGACGGATATGCTCATATTAAATTGAAAAAACAGAGACGGACACACTTGCCTTTGTTTTGGCAAATTTAACACGCTAAACCTTTTGTTTTTTTGTAGCGTGCCATATGTCACGGTAAGTGTGCGAATTATAGCACGGTTAGCGTGCAATTTGGGTAAGACACGCTGAACACGCTTGATTACTAAAACCGCTAAGATGATAAAAATGGCTTGGGTTTTCAGCGGATTTAATCAGCATTGATAACTGGTCGAAGTGAATCACATATACCAATTGAGACTGTTTTGGAATTTGATAGTAACCGTGGCCATTTGAAAATCACGACTTAATGGTGGTTTAGCCTGGAATTAACGCGAGATCAGTGTAGACCAATTCCTCCGGCTGTCGGCTGTTAACCAGAATCGCAAAGAGGCCTGCTATCGCATGCGATGCACTGAAGTTATGTCGCCTGAAAATTATAGTTATGCCAACGGAATATTTATTAGCAGTAATGCACAGAGAAATGAAGTTGAATAAATTAGTTTAATATATTTCTTTAAGCCATGCTGAGACGAAGGAAGGTAATTAAATCGGAGAAACAAAAACTGCCTAGAATTTTCTATGGGTTGAGGAAGGCTAAACATTTCTAGATGACCGTTTCATGCATGTACAATAATTTTCGAAGGTTATCCAATAAATTCCTTACGATTTTCCGAAGTTTAATTTTTTCCATTTCATTCCCCAGTTAAGCTATTTTTCGTAGAGAATTAAGGAATCCTAAAATTTTCGGAACCGAAAAATACGATAAAATTCTCACTTTCCTAAAACTTTCAATTGGAAGCTAAATTTTTTGGGAAAATAATGCTGAAGCCCTTGTAATTTCGAAAAGACTGAAGTTGTCCTAGGATGTTAGGATGCATTTAGGAGGAAATTGCCGTCAGGTGCCCCTGAGGAACGAAGCGCTATCAATCATAATTTATGTAAAGATATCTCGTTACGCTATGCTAAGACGAATCAAGCGCTGTAAACGTGTACTATATCTCGTTCTTCACAGGACGAAAAAAACAAGAATCTGTAAACTAAAAACACTGTAGAATGAGGGAGGATTGCGGGCGACTTTTCTTTGAATTTTGGGCGACAAAACTCATATTATCAGGTTTTGGACGACATAACTTCAAACGACATCACTTTCGAGTAGCTTGACCGTCACCCCTTTAGTTCGAGCTCGATGAATTAATTCAATGACCGAACTTTATGGAACAAATGATTGCCTTCAAGAATTTCACGCGGACTACTTTTAATGTAGTTCTTTTTCTCTTTTCTCAGTGTGTGACTGACAGAGATTTAATTCTCGGATCGAACTTTAGTACTCTAAACACGCCGTATTATCGTGGCAAAAACAAAGAATCAAACAAAAAAGCACCATACAATTTCGGAATTCTGTTAAAAAATACATTTTTTGCTTACTATTCAAAAAGCGGTGAAACAGTCATTAATTAACTGATGTTTCGCTTTTTGTGTGATTGTCCGCCGGATCAATTAAGCAACGTTGGAAGCGTTTTGGAATTTTAGTACATCTAGAAAAGCAGGCTGGTTTTCATTTGATCACTACGATCCGTGCAATCGCTAAAAAATAAATAGAATTTAGTGATCCTGGCACTTGATGATTTCTATTATATTTGATCGCGATTGCTGCGATCGGCAAGAAAGTGTCTTAAGTCCGAAAGATCACTGTTTCTGAGAAAATTGCAAATGTGTTTTAAATTAAGGAAAGTTAAGATAACCTTTGCACAGCTTCGTCAGTAAACATTTCTGGAAAGAACTTTGATTTTGCAATGCTAATATAGTTCTACCCATAAATCCAGTAGGTCACACCGTTCACTGTTTATACTTTTCAAGCGACAACGTTTTTTCAATCAGATACTATCGCTGCGATCGCTGAGGTGTAACTTTTTCTTTCTCGATAGTTACCAAAAAAGGGTGCCGTTCATAATCATTTACGGTTCCTTTTTGTAGAGGAAATTTATTTAGCTTATAGATAACACGCCTTGCGTGCTGTCCTTTTTCGCACGGAGCTTTTGTTTGAAAACTTTAACACGCTCTTTTGTTCGACTTGCTCACGCTTAATTGTCTCAAGCGTGTCCTCTGAAACAAAAGAAATTGCTAATGAGGCAAGATTGCAAGCGTGCTAAGGCGTGTTAAAATAAATTCTTTTGTTTTAAAGTGAAAGCGTGTCGTGCGCGTGCTTTCACCTTTAGCATTAAAGTCCTGTGGAGGGTCACATTTAATGGCTCTGCACTTTGTCTTCGTTCGCATTGGGAAACGGCCTACCTCCGATCTGCACGCATTTGAGCTACAGAATTTGTTAACTCCCAATAGCCACCTTATGAACTTTGTTTGAACAAACTCAATTGGATCATTTTCTAGCTTTCCGTCGTGATCGACCCCCCAGACCTCGCTTCCGTAGGTGAGTATTGGGGAAATAACCGTGTCAAAATTTTCATTGTGAGCTGTACATCGTCTCTCAAATGGTCGCCCATTTCCTTCCTGAGTTTGTACAAAGCTTTAAGGGCAACCTTCTTTATTTCCTGTTTAGCGTACTTGAAGGTCCCATAAGTACTAAATTGTAGGCCAAGATATTTGTAATTGCTAACATTGTCAAGTTTACTGCCTCTATAGTATAATACGTGCTTATTCGTGGTTCTCCCGCAGTTATTAAAAATTAACACCTTAGTTTTATTAAGGTTAACCGACAAGTCGTTTTCTTTGCAGTATTCACCGAGGGAATCCAAATAATTCTGCAGTCCGTTTTTTGATTTGGAGAATATGACCAAGTCATCCGCGTAGAGCATACAACTTAACGGATAACCGCAAAGTTTCTCCTTTTCCTCCTCCCCATCCTCCTCCTTTCATTAATTTATATTTACTAAAAGCAGTTTTTTTTTTTCTAAGATTTATAAAAGTACCTACGTACAGCTTACCTGAGGGGCGGTTTTTTTGCACTGCAGTACGACAGACTGCTTCGAAAATGTGGTCGAGCTGATTGAAAATTTGGCAAGTGGAAAACACCCCCACGAAACTTGTACAAAAGACGTGTAGAGCGGAGCTCCAAGCGCGCGCGAGGCGCAAGCGTGGGTGGAGCCCCATAGCTAAGGAAATCTATCCATCCTAAAAAAATTGGTAATCACGTGACCGTACACCGACCGCCTCCGACCGTCCGTCCGCACCACAGGGTAACCAATGCCCAGGTACAGCCTGATATTGCACATCCATAATGTGATCAATTGACAGCTGTCAAAAAAGAGTATCCGCTAACCAGTACCAACTTGACCGGATCGCGAGCTCAGGTATCGACCCATCGACCTCGAGTATTTTTTGCTGTTATCTGCTGACAAGCTACAAGTTTTCAGATGACCGCAGGCTCAAGTTCAATTTTTTTAAATTTATGAGTTGCACTAATAAAATTTTGATTTCAAACTGACCTCGGAGGCGAAAATTTAGCCAGTTTTTACAGGTAGGGAAGGCAGTTGCTTTGGACGTAGAGCGTGACCAACGCGTGATCATGGTGAGTCAAATTTCTATTCTCTGATTGGTCAAAATTTGACAGGTGAGTTCATGCGGAAAATTTATGCAACATCTGGAAACTTGTTTACTGATAGCTGTAGACTTGCCTACAAGTCGAGCTCAGATTTTTTCACGAGCGCGAAGTGTCAGCGGTAGACTTTTTATGTTTTCTGAGAAAGTCTATGATAGCTGAAGCTGACAGAGGTGTCATCTTGGGATGTTTTTAACTGTCTTTATACAGCTGCTTTCAAGATTCTTCTGTTATTCATGAATGGTCTGTTTATTGGGTTATTAGCTGAGAAATGCGCTGCTTGTCGAAGTCATTGGAAATCCGATTTCGGTTGGCATAGTGTTCACTTCGCTTGATGCGTAAGGGGGTTGAAAAGTCTCGAGCGATTCTAGCCTTACTTGATGGCTTTCCGAAGCTGCATCTCGACTGGTAAGCCTGAGTAATTATTTTGTTTTTAAAAATGTTTGATTTTTTTTTTCTGGTTTCGTGAAGTCAAACGTAGTTTTTCTGGCTATGCACGTTTGTATAAGATTTGAGACAAAGGATCTGACCTAGTATCAGGTTTGACAAGCTTACAGAGCTTTAAAAAGCCTTCAGACATTTTTTGACCGCAAATAGAAAGAAAACGTTCCGAATAATATCTAGTTATAACTTTGGCTGTTAAAAGAAAGCTTTGAGCGATTTTCGTGCCTCGAGTTCACCTTGAAAAATAGCAAACACTGGAAAGCAGGCTGAAAAATCTGTAAGGTTGTTTATATGCTGAAGCTTACATGACTGAGGATTTTCAGAGACATTTTAACCTCAATGCTTGTCTTCGTGAATGAAAATTGTTGTGTCTGTAAATGTTTCACCGAGTTTTATTTCTTTTATTGATTGTTAGTTGTGTCTCTTGCAATTTTTTAAAACCGCTTTGCCGGTTGTTTTCAGTCGAACATGAACATCGCTTGCAGGAGTACTCAAAATGCTCTGCGTATCAAACGCTTTTAAAGATTACACTCGATTACACATAATAAAACCATTAAATGAAGAATTAAAATGATAAATTATTGATTATGTTGTTCAAACAATCGCCATTTTGCACTCCAAATTTGGCGCTTGTCAAAAGTAACAACCAAGCTAGCTGTATAGGTGATTTTGGAAAGCCCATTATTGCCCTGCATACCACATAGGAGTAGATTGTTCTGACTGAACAGTCCCGACGTTATGGAATTCTCTTCATGAAAACGTTTAATGCTGATGTGGTCAATTCTGTAATTTGTTTTGCAAAAGCGCGTGCTTCGATTTCCTGATTATTGATTGAATACAATTTGTCCTGCAAAATTGTGAAAAACGCATTCTGTCCGAGGTATGTAAGCTAACTATAGAACCACTGCCTCATAGCATAGTTTACCTCAGAAGTGATGTATAAAAAGTATAAATGGCTGGCTTATACCTCACCAGATTTGTTGTTGGCAAAATTTGTAAAGCAAACTTGTCGAACACAAAAAATTCGGCTTGATTTTCTATTTTGGCCTCGCTTTTAGACAAAGGAATACAACCTATAAAATAATGTGTAAATTGGCTAATCTACTGTGATCAATCATGAGCCATTATGGCTCTTGACTCATCGAAGATTGCTAGGTTTTGGGTGTTCATATGAGGCTATTAACTAGATGTAAGATTCGCTTCACTCTTGGACTGTTTGCAAATTTATTCTTTAAAATCATTTTGCCTTTCCCTCAAAAGTCACATGAATGTGCCCTAATGTGTTTGATTTAAATCATAAATTTATTAAAGGGAGCTTCGCTTTTAGCCCTGGCTAAATCTATATATTATTCATTGGTGTTACCTAAGGGTTATCGGCCTGAAGCGAGGGGTTATGTGATTTATTCCCCTCGTGCGTTGCCCTCGGGCAACGCACGAGGGGAATAATCACATAACCACGAGCTGAAGGCCGATAAACGGCTTATTTTTAGATTGGCGTGGATTCCTCAAGGGATGCAAAAATACATTGACGAAAAATGCCGCTACTGTTCATCTTTCTTTTGTTTTGTAACATTCCATGCTGGCACTGGTGGCATTCACAAGTTTCTTGGCTTTTTAATTATGTTAGTTTTCAAAGTCGCATTTCAAATTAGTTGTTGGCAGTGAATGCTAGAAACAGCCTAAACAGCCTACGGTAGCAGTGTCGAGCGATTCAGAGCCAGAAGTAGCTAGAGCCGTTTATTACTCCAACTAAAGCAGCTTCAGTGGCGGTACTGCAAGAGCTTTCGGAAAACAATTTGAATCTTCATTTGCGGGCGCAGAAAACGAGCAAGCAGTTGACAATTTCAATTTTCGCACCGTGGATGTTTCGGCCGACCTTCATGTTTACATACAAAGAAGATTCCGGGCGAGGGATCACTACTGTAACTCACAAGGAAATTCAGTCGAGGAATGAAGCAAGAATACCGCAAAACACGAAGAGGTCAACTACATGTCTTCATGGAGTACACTAGCTTGCGATGACTGGTTAAAGAACGGAACACCTTACCATGACAACGACACTTTCGTGGAACCGTAGAATTAAAGACACTGTTCAATTTCGGACTGTCGTTCTGGCTGTGGAAATCGATGAACCAACAACTCAGAAAATCCGAGAATGTGGCGCAAAAGAAACGCAGCTCAGGTTAATTTTAGTACTTATAGCGTCGTGTTTAATATTTCCAATAAACATTTGTGAATTTTTTTCTTTACGAAAAGCTAATTAAAATGCGAGGGGATTATGTATTAATATGCAAGGGCAATAAGTCACTTATCCCCCTTGCATATTAATACGTATCCCCTCGCATTTTAATTAGCTGTTCATTAGCCCCGCTCTTCCCTTCAAATAATCAAAGCCCCACCAGCTTTTCAGACAGTTGATTTGGGGGTTATGTAATATATTCCCCCCGAAAAGAACAAAGGAATCCGAGCTTATGTAAAAATAAGAAGCTGAAACCTTCTTACCAGTATTATATCGTAGTTGCGTTACGAGATGAAACTTACATTCTCTCGTTCAACGCGTAGTCAAGACTCGTTTCAAAGTTAAGATACACTTTCAAGTTATAACGTCTGCGTAGCTGATATTTTTAAAGGTAATTCCCTTGTTTTACACTGCACATCACCTACTGCACACAAAAGATGGCGACATCAAAGGTCTTCAAACTCGCCTCAGTCCCTTCACGCAAAATTATCATTAGAAACCGAAGTAGCTTGTGTTGCCTTTTGAGAAGAAACGAGTCTGGCGACCTCCCTTTTTATTTGTGTTTTTTACTCGTTATGCCTACAAGAAAACATACTACAAGTAGAACATATTCTGGATGGTACAAGTTGTATTATTTAGATGTGAATTATGTGAAACACCGCATTTGGAGCCACAGAGAAGTATGAAATCAACTTAAAACTGTCCATTTTTCATACATTTTTTACACGATCGGCACTTCACTAAATAACTATAGCCCAGACAAACAGACGGGCTCTAGGTTTTAGTAAGATGCACATTTTCTGCTACGTGATAAGAATTTTGACGGTTGTTCAAGTTTTGAACCTTTTTGCGCGCAACTAGGAAAAAACACTAAGAATTGCAAGCAAGCAAGACGAAAATAAGCACAATGGTCCCATCTTTTTTTGCAGTTTTTCAATGACCTGTATATGGCCGTGAAATGTACAAAGTTTCTCGAAAAAAAAACATGTGGATAGTACATCCTTTTCAAGGGATTTACCTTAAGCTTAAAACTGTCCACGTAAAGCTGTGATGGTTTACAATTAGCCTTCTTTAGTTTTTATTTACCTTTATGCTCAAAGGTGTCATGGAAGACTGCTACTTAAGTTGATCAAATCTGTAAGGGTGTTTTGGCTCTCTGATGTCAAGGATTACTTTTTCTTCCACGGTTCGTGACCCAAACATGTTAACTCATGTATTCAATCTAGTCTACACCGTAATTTTTAGGGAGTTATTATGACTCCAAAAATGGAGTAAAAATTTTAGGCACAGGATAACCCCTTTTTTGGGGTTATTTTAACTCCTAATTTAACTCCGAATTTGGGGTCATTTTTACTCCTGAAAAAGAGTTCTTTTTACTCCCAGTCTGGAGTTAAAATAACTCCGAAATGGGGTTACTTTTACTCCTTCCATGGGTTGTTTTTACTCTTTTTGGAGTTAATTTAACTCTGAAAGTGGAGTAAAAATTTTAGGTAGAGGATAACTCCTTTTTTGGGGTTATTTTAACTCCTCAATATTTGGGGCCACTTTTACTCCTGAAAAAGAGTTCTTTAAACTCCTTTTTGGAGTTACAATAACTCCCCAAAAAATAACTCCACTGTAAGGAGTTAAATTAGCCCCACTAGAGGAGTTATTATAACTCCTTGAAAATTACTGTGTATTAAAGCTAGTCCATTACACTAAGTAGAATTATAGCTTGGTAGCTCTTAACGGCTCTGTGAAAGCTTTTTAGTCCTAAAAATTGTCTATGTATAAATGTATAGCGTATCACAGAACTACCTCATGACAGCGAATTTCTCTACTCAACGGCCATTGAACTTTATCTGGAAGGTAACCGTCTTACAAAAAATGCAGGGGTACCCAACGACAATTTTCGGAAAATATCTGTTCGGAAGACGATTTGAGATCTAGAATTTTCGGAACATCACGAGACTTTCAGCTAGGAAATCCGAACAGATGAAAAAATTTTAGGGGATAAAAATATGCCTATATCTACCTTTTAAATGCTAAAATACGTTCAACAATGCTATGTTCAAGTGGTTTTGAACTATATTCTTGTTGGGTGCCCCTGAAAATGGTTCGACCTTAATACAGCACTGACTTACCTCACTACGCACGATAGCTATTGAGGGGCATGGCTTCACATGAGGTAACCCATTTTAGGTAAATTCAATTCTAAGCTAAAAGGCTAAGAGAAACAAGCTAAATGGAGGCAAGCAAGCAAGAGATTACAAAGACATTAGATGAAAAAGTAAACACAGTACGTTAACACAGATTACTAACCTTGTTTTTCTCCTGCGTTTCCATTTCCCCTTCCTCAATGGAAGTAAGTACTAAAGTTGCTGTTCCAGCTGCCAATCCAACGTCACCTTTACTCAACGCCTTATAAAGAGCATTATCGGATCCGTCGATAAAATCTTTGGAAATCTCAGCGGGTGTTGTAAGAGAGGGTCTTACCTATCAAGAAAAGATTTACGTAGATGCCATTCAACACAAAATGCTAATTTCTTTCCAGCTATATATTAAGGCCGTTTAGAACGAAGCAACGGACTCTAAATTCAAAGATCATTTCAGGGTTGACGGCAGTGTCTATAGTAAATTTTAAAAAAGCAAGTCAGTTTTAAAATGCGTCGTTCTTCGAACAACCACAAGTAGCACGCACTCTTTCATTTTCCACGAAACACAGTCACACTGAGACAATTTTAGTGCCATTGCTTATGCTTTAGCTTGTGTAAATCAGGCAGGCCAATATCATAAAACTTATACCGTGACAAATTTAATATCATGACTTGTGGCTCCCAGGGAGTCGTGAATCGCCACTTGGATAGTAATATTATAATCTCGCGATGGGTCCCCCTGAGGAAGGACTGTCGTCAGGGAGGGAAGCGACGAACCACTTTTTATGTCAACAGCCACCAATTTTGCGGTCATGTAGCTGCAATAAAGAAGAAGATTATATTTAGGGATCGGTCATTATTTATGAAAGGGGGGAGAGAGAAATCATAGGGGGGTCAGGTTTATATTTTAATATTATAGGGGCTGGGTCATTATTGAAATATAAAATGATAAGGGGGTGGGTTGATTTTTTTTATCATAAGGAGCCTCTTAAAGGCAGAGAAAAAATAGTCAGTTTGAATCTTTTACAATGGATTTTTGGTTTTCCTTTCTACAACAAAGTCAGTTCAGAGGAGCGGATCTTTGTGTGAGATTTTAAATCATCAATCTCACAAAACAATACGTCTATTAAGGCAAAAATAGGAGGACAAACAACAACAACAAATACAAAAATAAACATGAGGTTCTTATATAAACTAAGCAAAAAGAGCACAACATAAATACTTAACTGTCATTCTCCAAAACCAAGGTTGGTTAATTGCTCTAGACGACTTAATAGTCTGATACGAATTATCGGCTGGAAATACCAATAAAAGACTTGAATTGGCGTTTGTACTTCCTCGACTTTACATACGTTTTTATATCATAGATCATTTCAAGTCTTTTAATGGTATTTAAAACCAACAGTCCAAAGCAAAACAGCCTTGTGCGTGTGTGTGTGTGTGTGGGGGGGGGGAAGGAGGGGTGGTGCATATCCTAAAAAATAACATTTAAGGGGTGGGTCAAAAAACAGTCCCGAATATCCCTAAATGAAAATGGAAAATGGCGGATTGATTACCAAAACGACCAGATTTCACTGTTTTGAGGCTTTCGGGCATATTTCGAAGACTTTTTATGAGGCATACTCAACCTATTTAAGAGTGCTGCGTATCGGAAACCATATTTGAAGTGCCTGGAAAAATGTCAGCACATTTTGTGGCTTATTTCCTCTTTTAAGGTGACTCGACCCAGTTTTTTTGGGAGGGTACCATCCTACTTTGAAGCTCTCTGGTATCCCCATCTTTACTTTTATCGTAAGTCTAACACAAAGCAGGGGCGGATCCAGGATTTTTTTAGGAGGGGGTGCACTCGTCTCTTGCTCTTCTTCAACACCAATAAACCACATAGTTTTTTTTTTGCAGAATATCAGTTGTATTAGAAAACCGCAGGTCATCTCGGGGGGGTGCGCACCCCCTGCACCCTCCCCCTAGATCCGCCCCTGCATAGAATGGATAACATATAGATCAATCTACAATATAACATAAAATTTTTGGCGATCGGAGTAAATGTCACGTGGTTATAATGCCACGCCCCTTTGAGGTCTGAGTCGAAAATATGCTGTTGCCGGCATTTTTTTCGTGAAAATCTCTCGGCGACACATAGTGCGCATTAGTGCCTTGCGCTGAACAGAGTTTCACCAAAATCACAAAGACCCAATTCGAGAATTTCAGCGGTTTCCAAATTTAGGTCATAATTTATGCGAAAATGATAAGCAAACTTTACACGGATTATATCTAATAAACTCTGAGATTCATCCCTTTATTTTGGGCATCGTTATAACAGATGGGTCCTTGCAAGTCAGCAAAACTCTTTAGGGCCTTGTAAATGCGCGCGATTTCGAGGAAAGCAAACATATAGAAATTATAGTTTTCGCTATTTGTTGACGTTTGTCAGCGTTTAAGAGTCCTTCTCACGAAAAAAGCATTTTCTTAAAAATTCGTAGTTTTTTTTCCTTCAAATTTTTTCAGGGCCACAATTGATTAACTAACTACCCGGACTCTGAATTTCATGGTCATTGAAAAACTGTGACATTATCTTCTATAAGCCCAAACTTGAGTAAACATTGAAGATTTTTAGCGTTTTGGCTGCGTTTGTGCTTTGGGAGTTGTCTATTGTTTCTAGTCTGTCATTATACAGCATTCTTGTTCAGCACGCGTGCAATGCCCGCGCTTGGCTGACTTCCGAATGCTCATCGAGATACGATAGTTTTGGTACAGTGAGAAAGGCCATCGCGTGATACATAGAGGTTTAACTTTGCCTTTGCAAAAAAATCAAGAAGTGCTACACAATAAATCTACTTACTATTAAAAAAATATTTTTTCATAGGTTTAATGTAAGCCAATAATTAAACCAACTCGTGACGGGAATCCCTTCCATTTTCTCATACTAAATTATCATATCTCGGTGAGCATTCGGAAGTCAGCCAAGCGTGGTCATTGCACGCGTGCTGAACAAGAATGTTATATTGTAGATTGATCTATATGTTATCCATTCTATGTGTTAGACTTACGATAAAAGTAAAGATAGGTATACCAGAGAGCTTCAAAGTAGGATGGTACCCCCCCCCAAAAAAAAAACTGGATCGAGTCACCTTAAACAACGCGATATAGGTGGGATTTTAGCCGTTTTTTAAGGTATATAAACATCTATCTTTATTTTTTTGGATTCAAAGATTTTTGACGATACATTTTAGTTATGTTTCCTCGATTGTCATATGGATTAACTTTTATCATATTGAATTTGGGGATGGTAGACAACCTTACCTAGAATTTTGGTAGACAATCTTTGAATTCCCAGGTCTGAAACACACGTTCCACTCCCAGGTTTCACGGAGACATGGCAGAGCCGTGTTATTAATTTATTTCGCATTAATACTAGCCTTTTCTTTCCACGGTATTAGTATTGTGGATATTCACGTCCATCATCTCGCCTCACTTTGCCGAATTTTCGGGGATAAAATCAAAGATCATAAGCGCAAGGTGGATGCTAACCTCTTTGTTTCTGAAATTCACCAAATCTGGAAAAATTTATTACTGTTGGATTCTCCAAACGATCATCCACAAGTAACAACAAAATCAAAGAAAGAAGGCAAATTTCAATTGTAAATTATGTATTTCGCTACTCATTGAACACTGATAATCTGGGTTGTATTTTAGCCTAGCATGTGCGACAGCAAGTAAAGAAAGCACCAGATGCGTGAAGTCCATGTGTGCTGTCAACACGAAACAAGAAAAATTTTTAAATTTGAACCAACTTTTATTCTTGTTATGGTGACTGAGTCTTTGATTCTTGTCCTGTAGAAGTTAATAGGTGGTATTATTCCTGTTTTGTACGATTCCAGGACATTTTCACACACTCTCTGAGGGTATTGTTGCACTGGACGAGTTTGCTTCGGCAAAAATCTTGCAAATCACGTCAGTGAAGCCACGACCTCTGTAATCGATCCGGAATATTCGAACATCCCAACGATTTCTTGCAATGAATAATACTCTTATTCTCTTGAATCAAATGTTTGCTTTGAAATAATGTGAAACCTAGACGAGTACTGTAAGCTTATGTTAAAAGCAAAACGAAATAGCAATGCTCTGCCCGCCTCCGTCCGCAATTTTGAAGAATTTTTGATCACTGGGTCGATGTTTTGATAAACACAAGTGTGCGTTCTTATTGGTTGAGCAGTGTCGCGTGACCACTTGGCCCTGTCCTTAAATATAGGGATATTCCAGACTGTTCAGGGGAGGGTCAAGAATAAAATTTATAGATGAGAAAGAATCCCCTCCGCTCCACTTGCATAAATAATGACCGGTCCCTTAACCGAACAGATCGTCAAGATAACGTCAGCCTAAACCAGAGAGGCTGGTTAGGAAACCCGGCAAACATCAAAGTTGAAAACAATAGTGCTGTAAGTTATGTTGGAAGCTCCCTGACCGTGCACAATCCTTTGTTTTCTGTTCACAAATTATGACTGAATAAATTAATGCATTGTTTCTATTGGTCAATAACTTCAAAATGATAGGAATGCTATTGAACTGTATGCTAGCTGATGAATTTCCTACCTTTTTTACTACTAAGATTGATACACTACGTAATGATCTCCTTGTTAAAAAGAAGGCTCTCAATGTGTTACTGATGAGGTACTCACTATGTCTTCCACTAAATTTTCAACTTTTACTGAGATGAAACTTGATGACATCAGGGAACTGGGTGCAGCACTGTTCTCGAAGTCCTGTGTCTTGGATCCATTACCATCTTCTATCATCAAACATTGTGCACACCCATTGCTGCCTACTATTACTTACATCGTCAACCTCTCTCTTCCTGAAGGCTGCATGCAAACGTGTTTGAAATCTGCAGTATTGTCACCTCTGCTCAAGACACATGATGCGGACTTTTTACAATTCAAGAACTTTAGACCTATCTCGAATTTGAAAGCGCTATCGAACATTATTGAGAAAAGCGTTGCTCTCAAGTTAAACAACTATCTGATGAACAATAACCTACATGACAACTTTCAGTCAGTCTATAAAGTACATCATTCCACTGAAACTGCCATGGTGAGGGTACAAGATGATACTCTGCATGCAATTGATGGCAATAAAGCCGTTTTACTACTTATTTTAGATTTATCTGGTGCATTTGACACTGTGTCTCATGAAATACTCAGTATTTCATGAGACACAGTACTAGAATGGATACGCTGTCTCAACGTTATGGTATTACAGGGACTGTACAAGAATGGTTCGCATCCTACCTGTCATCTCGTACACAATTTGTTCAAATTGAAAGTTCAAGATCTTCTTTACGTGAACTTAATTGTGGTGTACCGCAAGGGTCCGTCCTTGGGCCTCTGTTATATGTTTTGTACACTTCACCAGTGGCTGATATCATAAAGAGACACAATCTATATGCTGATGACACTCAGCTCTATGTGTCATTTAAATTAGGAAGTGACGATCTTCTCTCCTCAGCAAAATCTAGCATTGAAATATGTGCGCAGGAAATCAACAATTCGATGATTCTTAATGTTCTTAAGCTAAATGAGGAAAAAACCGAGGTGCTTCTACTCGGTTCACGTTATCGGCCCAGTCCTTCATTGGAATTTGTTCGTGTTGGGAGTGAAACTATTCAAGCACCCCCTTCTGTTCAAAATCTTGGGGTGATACTCGATCCCAGTGCTGATATGGAAGACCACATTAAAAAGATCTGTAAGACATGTCATTTCCATTTAACTACATTAAACATTAGTAAGATAAGAATATATTTGTATCGTGAATCTACTGAAGCAATTATTCATGCTTTTGTGACTACCAACTTGGATTACTGTAATGTGATTCTATATGGACTACCTAAAGTTCTCTTAAACCGCCTACAGCTAGTTCAGAATAGAGCAGCGCGCATCGTAATATTCACCAAGAAGTATGAACATATAACACCCAGCTTAATAGACTTACTTTGGTTGCCTGTTGAATAGCGTAATTATTATTTATAAAATAGTATTGTTAGTATGTAAGGCTATCACTGGACTTTCACCAAGTTATATATCCAATTTGCTCAGTGTTTGTAGCGGCTCCTACTTTTTGCGTTCTTGATCGAGCGAATAAGTTACTTCAATTCCCGAGATCTAAGCTAAAGGCTTATGGTGATCGAAGATTTTCTGACCTAAGTTATGGAACAGCATACGCCCCTCTTTAATGCCGATTGTTTAATGCCGATCTTTAATGCCGATCCCTTGAATTCTTTCAAAAAACACATAAATAAAGTTTATTATTATTATTATTGTTGTGCACGGTCAGGTCTAAAAAAGCTAACAAAAACCTATAACAAAGGGTTTCCCAACCATTCCACTTTAATTAACTATGCTTTTCTGGAGTAACTTTCAGCCTACGGTGGTTTCGTGTCCCTGGACTTCCAGGACTTTAAAGAACTTCTGACCGTTATAACAAGTACAAATTTCTGTAGCCTTCAAAGTAAATTTAGGTTAAAAACATCTTTTTAGATGCCTCATGATACTTTCCTCGTCCAAGATGACATTAGGATCTGTGGTATTTACTACCCAGCATTGAGTGTGTACATCCATGTTTTACCTATTAATTGTCACCCTTTACAGTCATTGGTTTTATGAAAAAAAGTTAACCTGTTCTTACCTGAAAGTGTAGGATAAAGGTAGATCTTCATCATACCATTTTGAACAATTTACCAAGAAATTTGTTTGTAATGCCAGTCCGTCAGAAGGAGATATCAAACATCCACCACCGTTATAAGTAACAGGAGGCGAGTTGGTTGTAATTTGAATTTCGCCCTTTGCGACCTGGCGTTCGTCAATAAAAGCAAACAACTCCACCTTGTAAGTTGTGTTTAGCTTTAAAGAATATTCGGTTGCGTTGATCTTCCCCCTGAGAACAAAATTTAGTCCATCGAACGTCGCCTTTGCAGCAATATTTTTTATAGGAATCCAAAGCGGATCTGGGCTTTGTTGGTCCATCTGGTATAAGGCCCACTGATATCTCGTTATGCTTTTACAGGTAAGCCCGGAGCAATTTGCCACAAAAGTAGTCTTTTCATTGATGGCCACTCTGGGGTAACAGTTGTACGTACACCTGGATGAAAAACAGTAAAGAAGTAAAAACGCGTTTCGAAATGGGATGGAATATGACAGTCGGTGAGACTGCTCAGATGTTCACTGCGCACGAGAAACGTCTCCAGAGAGGAAGGAAAGTGAACGACCCGCTAAGGAGGAAGCAAGATAAGGTGTGATTTGCCACGGTTTCCTGTACCTAAATCAACTAAAGGAAAAGAGGATAAATTGAGTTTTAACGCTTTTTAAAACAAAACGTTCTATATTGTTGTTAAATGCGTAGGCATATTCTAAAGGCAAGTTCACAGGCAGTTTGGACAACGCAAAAAAATCGTACAAATATAGTTCAGAGGAAACGTCCAAGGTAACTTGCTATTTCAAGGAGAGAATTGCTCACAACTCACTATCATTGAATAAGCCCATTTAGTAAAATCCATGAGTGGTCTACTATCAATGCTGCGTTCTGATCATTGGTTGAGCTACTACTAGGCTATAGGTTTACATAGCCCACTAGTAGCAAAAAGCGTCGGCTTTGAAAACCAAAACAATGGCCGCTGAATCGCGTTTTGTTAGCTAAAGTTGTTTTGTCTCGATATTTTTGACCAACTAGTTGGGTTTTACTCAAACAATTATTCCTCTCGTCCTCATGGCCTCTGAGTCAATAGCGCATGAGGCCTTCGGACTCAGAGCCCATTCGGGCTCGAGGAACAATTGTTAATTAGAAACGACAATGATAAAAATGATTAAAGGATTCTTTCCAAATAAAAAAATATATATATTATATTACATATAACAATTATTCACCGAAGTGGAGGTGGCTAGTGGTCCCATACATCTACCATTAGCCACCGACACTGAGGTGAATAACTGTTTTAGTATATACTAAAACAGTGAGATAATTGAGCAAAAAAATGATGGTTTTTAACTCGTTTACTGTTGCCAACGATTACAATTTTGGCGCGCAACGACCGAACGGGCGGCCGTCACGTTTTCTTGCCGACAATTAAAGTGAAGTATTTGTTTAGCTCTTCCGGGGAAATTTTGTCCAAAAGAGTTGTGAATTCTCTTTGTATTTTAATAAATTAAGATTTAAGCTCATTTGTGAACAATTCAGCTAAATAAAGTAACGCAAGACTGGAGCTTAATTTGCATTTCTAAACAAAAAACTTTTTCACCACTTCGTCGATGAATTCAAGTCAAACAGACAAAGATTTACCTGTTAAAGGGACTGGTTCACGATAATGCGCATGCGCGCCGTTTGGCTCTTCAGAATAAATTTGTTGGGTCAACACTAAATTCGAAATCGCCATTACCGGTACAATCACTGAAAATCCTTCGTTTTATTCGGACATCCGTCGCTTTGGCTGGTCTAGTTATACTTCGGTAGTGGTGATTAACGTGTGGTTGTGTCGTTTGACTGGTTACGTTTTAAGAAGACGCAAAAAATAATGTTTTGATCATGGAGGTTCAGAAGAGCATCGTGGCCGTCCGGCAACAGGACGTTCTCAAGAGTCTTAGGAGATAGAGAAGCTTAGCCTATCGATCTGGTATGGTTCTAGGAGTAGTGTGTGGCTTACGAAAAGAATACACGACACTTGGAAAGTTGTTAAAGGCATGAGTTCGTTCAACTTTGATTTGATTTTTGACTCCGACCTGTAGTTATACCGCAACAGGCTGCGTGATCTTCACCGATCTGGTACTCTTGAAATGTTCCTTGTATCTTTGCTTTACGATCGTATATGTTTAAGAATTGATGTTTTTAAAATAAATTATTGCCTGAATATTCTGTTTATAATATAGTTTCTTTATGTGTGCTACTCGATAACATTTGTTTTGCGGAACAATCACCCGATGTAACGCGAATGAATTTGTTCATTTGCGGATAACCATTTGAAATTTATGCTCAATTAAGGATAATCTTTATACTCATACGTTGTGTGTTTTTGTCACCGGTCAGGCGGTATTTGTAGGTATTTCAGGGTTTAAATAAGGCGAACTGAGAGAACAGTAATAAGATGTTTGTTTACAAATTTTGTTTGCCGATCGGTGACTGCTTTGTTAGCGTGGGTACGACCTCGTAAAAATACACGTTGGTAAATGTTTGTTTCAAAGCAGGACAGGGCTGTAAATCTTATTCTCATCGGCTGCAACATATAACTGAGGAGTAGCAAAGAATAAACTTGAATTATGGGGATAAATCAAATCAAACCAAATGCCCGGAAATACTCTCGCGTCGCGAACAATTAATTTGAATTTTGTAAATTTACTTGCGTGCATCTAACTCGCTTCCGATTGGTTGAAAAACAATCAGCTACTGTCAGAACTCACACATGCGCATTACCGTGAACCAGTCCCTTTAAAACCGCCAAATCGATTTTCGTCACATTCTTCGCTTATTTCGGGGACAGCTTGTTTGATTATTTGTTAAATTTCTTTGTTTATTACGGCAGCAAACCGGGAAGCCATTTTGCTCGTAACTTTCGCGAGTTTGCTGTCGCTCGCTCGAAGGAACTGGGGGTGAATCAGTGAATAGCACTGGATACTAATTGATTGCGTAGCCAATCAGAGCGCTCGAAAAACAGTATCCACTGTTTTAGTATATACTAAAAAAAACATATTATTAATCATGGGTGTTTATTAAAGCTCGATTATCGATCGTTTCTCGCGATAGTCGATTTGTTAATGGTCGCGACGCTTTCGACCGCCTAAAGCTGATCTTTCTCAGGCGATGATTTTGATTTGCCGTCATACCTAGCTTATGAATGGTGGATTTGGAACCTAGGTATTTGTAATGTATTACGTGACGTCGCATAACGTGTGTAAGTGAATTGCATAATTATTGGGGCGACAAGAGGAGCCCGCAATCATAATCTCCAAGTTGCTATTTATGAAAGTACGTCACTTATATTCTTATTCTTACTCTTACCAGCTTTTCTGGAAACAGGCCTGCCCAGAGAGAATGTGTACGAACGGGACTCAAGTCCCATGGGAGGTGCCATCCCCACTTAATCCCACAACCCTTAAAGCTACAGCTTCGTTGGACATCCACTAAGAATGAATGGAATGCACAGAACGCAATCTGATCTGACGGTCGTTTGGACTCAAGCGTATTTCGACCATCTATCACGTGAAGCTTACGCAAAGCACAGCGAAAGCAAAAGCGGTTTGACCTTCGATTGTTGTCACTAGCTTGTAACCTTTATTTATTACTAGTTATATTGGATAAATATAGTTGAGGTCGGTGAACACGTCACCGTCTTTTAGCAGTTGTTTGTTCGCATCGCTCCGTTGTGTTTGGAACAAGGTGCACAACCTGATGTTTGACTTTTTAGCCCAGCCACGTTGTTCTTCCTATAGTTCCCCTGGTGTATGAATTTCAATCGGTATTGCTGGTGTTAGATGCTGTTTCCTCAGAGGTTCGCTGTGGTACCTGTCGGCTGCTGTGTTGCCTGCTGCACTGAAGATCAACAGTAAGCGGTCGAAAAGTCGGAGACAATAACAGAGTGACTACCGCGAGCCAATTGATAATCAAAGCCTTCTATCCTTTTTTTTTAATTTTCCCGTTCCTCTTACCTTACTAAAATGTTGATTTGTGGTTCCAATACTGTCAAATTATGATCATCCTTTGAAGTTTCCGAATCCAGCTTAACTTTAACGATAAACACATACTCTCCCACTAGCATTTTGTCAACATCAACATGAAGAAACACATCACCTCCACTTAGTCTTCCCGGGCCATACCCAAAGCAACCCCCTGAAGTATTAGAATTCCCGTCTGGAACATCAACGAGTTTCAACTCATCTAAAGGAAGTTTCTCCATTCTTTTTCGACAATACCAACTGTAAGTTAATCTGGGAATGTGGGCTCTAGAATGATCAGCTAATGCTGATAGAAGCACACTTCCATTTCCTTTAACGGCTCTGGAAACTCCGAATATGCTCGCAATCGGAGGGGGTCGTAGAAGTAGAACATAACCATAGTCGTATGCTACGACTCTGTTAGTGTTCCTCAGTACAAAACTGATGTAAACGTAGCTATCAAGGGAGCGCCCTTGATACAATTTAAGCTTAACACTGTGAGAAGTTAATGGGGGTTTTAAAAATGAACTAAAGGTTCCTGAGTTAAGTATCGCTTTCGTTACCTCCCAGGACATGTTGTTTGGCAAAGACTGGCTACAAGAGGAATGTTTTACTTGAGCCTGGAATTTAAAACGTTTCCCAGTTTCTGATCCTGAACTAGCTGTAAAAATCAGTGGAGCTTGATCCAAATTCTTCGTAAGGTTCACTTTCACAACTGGTGGAGGACACGTCGAGTTAACTGCAAATAAACAAGTTGGTATCACGTGAATTCGGGCCAGTTAGAAGACATCTTGCTCATTTTTTTTTTTCGATAGAGAAATCGATTAGTCCCAGTTCAAACGTCGAACTTTTCATGTACATACCGAAGTTAATACCTATTTGGGACAACCCAAATGATTTAAGTTCGACGGTCAATTCAATTCAGTCGGACACAATTCATTATCACGATGCACAATGCTTACCAGTCAAAATAAATTATAGCGGAGCCTTCGCGCGCGCAGCGGAGCAACTGATAAAATTTTGTCAACTATCCATCCGAGAAAATTTGGTTATGTCGTCACCGTACGTCCGTCCGTGTGGACTTTCCGGGTAGGGGTAAGTTGAAACGAATTCCGCCCCTCTCCCTTAGAGAGTTTTGTCCTCTATGATTGACAAATCAGAATCTGTCAACTGACCAAATGTTTGTTGGATTTTAGGGGCCGACCATTTGACTTATGAGGGGTTATGGGTGATTTCAGAAAAAAATGTCTTGCAGACTGATTTCGAGAGGAAAAAAAAGCATTCAAATGAATTCATGGGAGAAAAATATCCTGCACTGAAAAAAATATCGCTCATGACGTATGATTCTGAAAAAGAATCTTACACCGTTATACGTCGGGGAAAAAATTTCTAACTCCAGAGAGGTTTGGGAAAAATTCTTCCAATACAAACTAAATGAAACTAAATCAGTAAAATCACCCATACCCCACTCCCCCTCAAATGTCCAATGGTCATGCATGTCAACCATTTAGGGGCTGAGGGAAGAAACGGATTTGGCACCTTTGTAAATGTCAACAGCTGAAAACTGGCTGGCGCGCTTTCATGACGTGGTGGTTTTCAAGACTAAAGTTTTGCATAATACGCAGATAAGGACACAAATGGAATGAGAAAGTTCAAAAGAATGCTCAGTTTGCGTTTGTGGACAAACGAAAGCTTTTCGCTATGAAACTGTCTTTCGAAGAATTCAACATCGTTTTCTACACGGCGGATCGGAGGGCTTAGCTTGTTTTGAACCAAACAAGGCAGCGAGGTTTCTGAAGACACTTGAGGTACACTCCTTACTCTATGATCAAAGAAAAGTACGTTTTTAAAAAGGAATTTTTGTATTTATAAAGGTTTCATGGACGTTTTCTACATTTTAACATCGACGTGAAAGAAAAACCACAGAATGTGCATTTGAAATTGTTTTTTTGCCATGGGCTCGACCGATTTAACTTGCCTGAACACAACGATTTAACTTGTCTTACGCAAATTGCTTTTTAGGATTAACTTATGGGTTTTTGAATAAAAATTTTCAAGAAATTAAGTTATTTATCTGTCATTGTTCATTCATACCATTAGCTCAAAAAGCGACCATGAGACTGCAGATCGTCAGTGGTACACGTTCCGCATTAAATTGCTATTCATTTTCTCTTTTATTACTTGCCATTTAAGATTTTTGCAGTGTGAAGAATTCAAGAATTTCCGGCTGCAGTTTTGCAGTGCTGTTCTTTTTCCAAGACTTGTGCCCTGAATATAGCTGAATAAGCTTGAATTAAGTTGACTGCGTTTGTTTTCAGTTGTTTGTTTACGGCTTTATATCCTCACTGAAAAAGTGAGCTTATCTAAAAGATGACAGAGTTCTCCTCTCTTCTAAAACGGACAGACTCGTCTGCTTTTCGAGCCCGAGTTTGTATTTTTTTTTATAAAAAAAGTTGTAAGTTGCTGTATTAACGTTTATATTTGTAGTGAAAGACTGGCTTATTGTTATTAGTAGTGAAAAAGGCTATCGTTTGCTTTCCTTTGTCTGTCCTCAGAGAAAATATTGTACACCTTTCGGTAAAATTTTCTTTCAGATATTGTGAGGTATAAATGTAAAGGCTACACATAACTGTTCGTCCGGGCCCGTTAAAAAAAGAAAAGAAAAGAAAATATAATGGGCTTACTGGAAGACAAAAATCCTTAAGTCGGCCTGATTTTTCTTTTACGCCTTCCCTTAAACACAGAAACACCGACTCTAGAAATCGGAACCTGTAAATTGCTGCTACTTAAGAGACCTACAACTTAGGGAAAGTTCATTTAATATGACAAGGGGGGGGGGGAGATGAAGATATTGAGGGGGGCTCCGAAAATTTTTAGACACCCGAAGGGGGGCTCTGAAAAAATTGTTGCGCTAGGAGGGGGGTTCGAAAATTTGTATACTTCAAAACCAACACATGACATCATCATATAGATCGGATGGTTTTCAACTCAACAATTTAATGACCTGTGCAACTCAGCTATATCACGTGGTTTACAGATATAACAAATGTAGTCTCAGTAATTATTACACTCTTGTTCATCCTAAAAATGCTTTAGAAAATTGTATCACAACTGTATCTCAAGTTTGTCATAGTATAAACCATTGAAGACAATAACGGTAAATATATTTAATACAGTCTAGCGATCTTTTTTCAGGGGAGCAAAGGAATTGAAGGAGGAGGGGGGGCTCTGAATTTTTTTTTCGACTACCAAGGAGGGGGGGCTCTAAAAAATTGAACCGCTAGCAAGGGGGCTGCTAAAATTTCAAGCTTCGAGTTTCAATATCTTCATCCCCCCCCTTGTCATATTAAATGAACTTTCCCTTAACAAATTTTTTTCAATTCAGGTTTGTTGGCGGGCTATTTTTCCTTAATCATTTAGCCCCTACCTCTAACGGCTCTAAAGGTGTCTGATGCCGAAGGCTCTTAGGGATGTGAAGATTTCTTTTCTCTTTTTTGGCTAAGAGTTCATGTTATTACTTTAATTTGGTTGCTTTTATCATAAATATAGAAACGGAGACTTCGCTTTTAGCCCTAGCTAAATCTGTATATTAGTAATTTATGCGTAAGATTCGGCACATAGAAAGTTGGACGTTCAAAATGAAGTCGCTGAATTTTTTGTCGTGCTAAGGGTGAAAAACGGTAGTGTTACGGAAACCTGCGTCCAGTTATTTTGTTTTTACAAGGTCTCCTTAGCTGCACAGTCAGGGACCGTGGTAGACAAATACATGTAGTCTTGCGGTTTGTAATTTTAGCCTTTTCCAATTAATATTTGATATGTGATTAACGACATAAACCTTTTTTATCCAATGAACATAATGCAGTATTTTCTGACCTTATTGGAATACTAATGTTGGCAGACATTTCTGTCTTGCGAGCCGAACGGTTTCATGCGGTCCAAGGGAGTAGCCATGGAACGCGTGACGAAGTTAAAACAGCCGTCTTTGCTCCTTGGATGTCTAAAATAACATCGCTCTACCGTCAGAATACCCACGTGAGCCAATCGATCTTAAATCATGGGTTAACACAACTTAGACACTTGATCGGACGTCATTAATTTAAACGTCGATCATGAACGTAATTGAAGAAACTAGACACGGTACAGGAAACGTTTGACGCGGTCTGAACTGAGCTTTAAGCCTCATTTACAAAAAGCTGTTTAGTTAAACAAGGAGTGAAATTGTTCCCTTGACAAACGCTGCTTAATAAAAAATAAAAGGTGATTGCGAATTTTATGCAAATAACAACACATATTGAATTTCATTAAAACCTGTGTTCCAGTTTTCCTTGTCTGTTTTTCATTTTTTAAAACCTGATTTAATAAACATGTTTAGTTGGTGTGAATGTAAATGAATGTGTGAATTCTTTAAATTCTTATAGCTTCTCAGATTCTCGTGAGGTGTGTGTACTAAGCTAAAAGCAATTGTAAATTTTTTTTTTGACTGGCATTTGTCAGTGCAGAAATGATACACACAATGTCATTGCAAAGTATAATAAAGCAAAGGTTGAGTTTTGCAGTGGACAGAAAGATATGTCAAATTATTTGAGTTACTGTTGTTGGTTGTTTGCTACCAAAATGCGGGGAATCATTTTGAGAGCTACGTATAGAATAGTATAAGGAATCATAAATATTATCTGAAACCCACTCACAAGTATGTAATGTCTCAAAATGTGCTGGATCAAACATCACGTTAGGATTGGCAGATGCTTGTTTTAGTTTCTCAAGTAACTTGCCCCTGGAGTTTTCCCGATGCGTAATGATCATTTCCACCATAAGAGAAGCCTTCGATTTTGAAGTTAATGAATATGGCCTGCAAAAGAAGAAGAATAACTCACTGTTAACATTCTCCGATACGCTTTTAAGGCTCATTATCTCAGAGGAGTAAGAGCTCCCCTCACCAGCTCTCGGATCAAAGAATGAAATAATAGTAATAAGAATGCAGATGATAATAATAATAATAATAATAATAATAATAATAATAATAATAATAATAATAATAATAATAATAATAATAAATGTATGTGGGGCTCTGCAAGAATACTGAGGAAAGTATTGGACACCGAGTGAAGTTTAACATGAAAGGGGAAATGTTGTAAGCCATCAGTCTGGACACCCGTTTTAGATCACAGGAAGTGACCAAATGTCTACGTGTATACAGATCAGACTTCCGGCTTCAGCAGTGAACTGTCATATCGCTTAGACAAGAAATTTTGCATCACACTTGTCGCCAGAAAAAGTAGGAGTCATAGGAGTCTAAATTGCAAGCAACAACTTCATATCAGGAGAGCCTTTTACCAAAACTCGGAACCACTTGAAAATGTTCTCGACTTCGTTCTACAGAAATCGAATAGTTTGCCACATTTTTGTTATACCTGCCGAGAATCTAAGACTGCAATGTCAAATTAAATACTATTATTATAAAAGGCTTACCCAAATCGTTTAAATTCAGCGGATATAAAACCAGGACTTCCCTTTAGCATGATTGTTACCTGCATAAAGAAAGCCAGCACCATCGTAAGCTAATACTTTCATCCCATTTTATCTCAGCAATTTCAGAGTGTATTTCAAAGTAAAAGTGTATTTCAGAGTAACCTGAAGTAGGATGGAGGAGTACGAAAATCGCAGAAAAAATAGTGGATTATGTCAACACTACCAACGATGAATTTCTTGTTGACCCGAAGGTTTTATTCCATGGTTGATGAATTTACAGCTATTTGCACATAAGTTGATCAAGTGACTGCCATGAGAGTGTGCAGATTAGTTCATTGACAACATTATGACACGGATCATATTGCATGCATACACGATACAGTATGTCCCGGCGGAAAAACGGCATTTTGATTAATGAGCATGCGCTGAAACGTGAACCTCTCCCTTTTAACCAGAACAGAAAGAGGGAAATTTGAGGAGGGTATAACAAAGCTAAGTCAAGAACAAAAGCGAAGAGTCTTATCTTGCTGAATTGTGTCCTATTTTTACATATTTTATTCATTCTCTTAAAATAAGCCCACTCATTTATTCAGCAGGCACAGAACTCACCCTCACATTTATATGATTGCAAATCAATATTCCTCCCATTGTATATTCCAGTCAACAAATCAACCTAGTTGGATGGCTTTATCCCCGACGAGCCACACTAGTAGATCAGATGTAGAAGATCTAAACTAGTAAGCAGAAGGTACAGGCTCGAAGTATGTTGAGTGGCTTTCGATTCTGTTCTTCCCAAGTCACTGACACAATCGAAAAACCTCAATGTCATGATTATTTCTACGAAAACCAACCTGGTTTGTCGCCCTTGCTTTCAGATCATTATGCAAGGAAGTGCTTGTGTTTGCATAGTCCAAAGTAAAGCTGGCAGAACGTACAAGGAGTCTCAACACAAAGTGAAATTCTGAAGAAAATTGATTATAATAAAGTAAAAAATAGATGCTTGATATTTTCAACTTATACTTTTTAGGGATATGTCAAAAAAAGAAAAAAAAAATTCCACCATAGTCGGGAAGAAGATATTCTAACTTTTCAATTTACATGACAACTAATGTAGTATCAAGTGAGAACTGCATTAAGTAAGATTCAAACATTTTGGAAACACCAAAACAACCTAACACTATACCCCAAGCACTCAGGGTGCGCCAAAACCTATGTCCGATTGTCCAGGAGAAGAGTGTAGAAACTTAGTCTGGATATGTGAATCGTTGGACATGACTGGTCCTTTTGATAACCATACTTTTCATCACTAAACAATTACACTGCAGAATCGAAGAATTTTGTCGTCTTATTGATCGGCAGTTCAGACAAAGTTATACCACCTCACGCGTCCTGCTAAATAATGAAACCAATAGCTTTGCGCATAGTGACAGACACCTGCCAAATACGATAGATGGATAGATAGTTATTAAAACTTCATCGCAGCCAAAGGCTGAATTACGCAATTATTTACAAAAACTTTACAATACGTGACAATTACAAATGAATCCTAGATAATAAGTCGAAAACTGATTTTTAAGATAACATTAAAAATTCTATATAATATATTCATATTGAAATATGTTAAAATACAAAGCATGAATATAAGTGGGATAAAACTACAGCCCGGACTGTTTCGACATCGCATATATAAAAGTATTACTTGTTCTGTTCATGCAAAGCTTTGGCATATTAAAAAGGCTCTGTTGTCTTAGGTTATAGCGTGAGTTGTCATAGTCTGGTGGAAGGAGCGCCTTCAATTTATGGTTTGGATCACTGACAATGTTATCAAAAAGCCTGCTACATAGTACGTAATAATGCCACCTCTATTGCCGAGTTGCACTTTCCTGAGGTTATTATTGATATTGCTCTTTTCTCGAGCCGTACCAGCTCTTTCTTTAAGTACTGGGGGAGACCGTTGAAAAAGACAGGTGCTGCATAATCAATAACAGATCTCACGCACGATACGTAGAACAGTGCTAGATCTTGTTTCGGAACTCTCGCTCTCTTTAACTGAGTTAGGAAATAGAGTCACTTGCTAGCCTTTTTTGGTTATGTCAGTTACATGGTCGATCCATGTTAGATCGTTCGCTATTGTAAGGCCTAGTAGCTTTGTACTAGTGACTAACTCTACCTCCTTTCCTTCTATGATGACGGGATCAAAGACTCCTTGCTCTTTGGCAAAGGAGATCCTGAGTTCTCTGTACTTATCGGCGTTTAGTTGGACCCTGTTCTCGCGAGACCACTCAATTACTCTGTTAGCTATTGCTTACGCGTGACTTTCTCTGCCCTTTACTACTACCTCAGACACCGTGGTGTCGTCCACATATTTCCATTGCTGTGCGTTCGAATCAAGGTAGTTAATCATTAGGACGAACAACCACGGGCCTAGTTTGGTACCCTGTGGTATGCCGGCAGGGACTGGGCCCCATTCAGAAAAATACTCTGATGCAAATTTAATCCGCTGGGATCTGTCCGATAAAAAATCTATAATCCAGTTGATAATGCTTGCTGGTAATTTATACTGGTTACGCAACTTTCTAACGAGTATACTATAATCTATCAAATCAAACGCTTTACGGTAGTCCAATAATAATGTTTTTACGGTAGCTCCGTTTCCATCCGTACCCAAGGACCAGCTGTGCAGCATATTACTTAGCGCCATTGAAGTAGAGGAATTGGGGATGGCTCCGTAGTGGTTGTCATCGAGGATGTTCATGACTGCAGGTTTCACGAAACCATCCATGACGTACTCTTCCGCCACTTTAGAAATACAGGGGGTCGGGGATATCGGTCTCAATTCCTCTTGGATGTCGATCACTGGTTTCTTTTTGGGAAGGGGAGTCACGTCAGCCATTTTCCAGATGGTAGGAAGACGCTGTTCAGCGTTGGAGGCATTCAGGATTTCCGTGATGGGATAGGCCACCAGGTCGCAGTATTCTTTCAGCAGCCAGCTGAGTGTTCTGTCCGGTCCGCAGGCCCTCCTTCGATTGAGGACATCCAGTGCTCTTTGCACGCGCTGTTCGGTTACCCTTAAGATCTCGGGCGAGTCGGACTCGACAGGAACCCGTTCAAGAGGAGCTGGTAGTTTATACTCCCCGAGTGATTTGAGGAGAGTGGCATTGATGGCACTGGCTTGCTCCTTGAAAGGTAGTTCTGAGAATCCTTCGATGTTAATCTGGCTAGCTAAATCGCTGTGGGAGGTCTTTAGGCCGCACAAGCGTTTTGTTTCATCCCACCACCTTTTCGCGTTTTCTCCTTTTAGGTGCTGGATCATTGACTCATAGTATTTCCCTCTGCAGATTTTCCTCAGTCGGTTGACAAGGTTACGAAAATATTTAAATTGAGCTGAGTCAGGGCCATATGTACAGAACGCCTTTTGTCCCTTCATAATAAGAGATTTCAAACTCTCGTTCATCCAAGGGACGTCGGCCGTGCAGATCTTGACTGGTTTGGCAGGCATGATGGTGTTAAGGCCTGAATGTATGACGTCTTGGAAGACTGGCCATTTCTCTTCTCAGCTCACAAGAAGAGTGACCAACAGAGGCCAGTTTATCTGCATCAGATATCTACCCAACGCCGCCTTGTTGCTTGTTCGCAAGTCACGCCTCATGGTAACTTTTTTGTTGTTGATGTTGCGCTTTCCGTCCATAGGGGTTACCACAACAACGTTGTGATCGGATAGCCCGAGGGGTGGATATGCTTGTGGGGAGCTATAATACTGATGGGCTATAACAATCTGACAAGTTGATGGCCGACGAGACAAAAACAGTTCAAATGCTAAAAAGCTTATGACAGCGAAGATCTTTGAACTCTGAACTTGAATGTTTTCTTACGAACCTAAAGTTGTCGGAACGCACTTTTAGGATCCCCGACACAACATGAATTTCTGAGGTAATTGAATAACGTCTAGATTAATAGACGGTAATAGAAGTTCAGGACTCTCATATTTCCAACTAGTTTGAGACTTTATGAGTGGGTGAAAAGATTTGTCATTGGCAAACCCTTTTCAGTTTGGACATCAGAAGAAAACATCCGCACGAGCTAGCCTAGTCTACATACAAGATACACAACATTCATTAAAACAGGTCTAGTTTAGTGTAACAAAGACTAGTGTTAGTATTTTTACTGAAGAGACTTTATAGATATGTGTTGTTGTTGGAAGTTGTTATGTGGTTTATTTCATATTGTACCGATATGATGAATTGTTTGCCATGTTAAAATGCAGATTTGATTGATTTATTGATTGCATTGCTCGAGAAGTTCACACCATTAGACTTTCAGAAAAGTCCTCCGTCCGATTTAATAGCGGTCACCGCTTGCTCGGCCGCTTCAATTGGCGTCGTAAAAAGCTCGCTCCGCTTGTTTTAATTAGTGAAGTCGACCTTTGGCAAGTCAAGTCACACGACAGAAAACGCAAGAGACACATAAACGGAGTGAGAGAAGAGAGAAACTTCGTCTATACACCGTAATTTTTAGGGAGTTATTATATCTCCAAAAATGGAGTAAAATTTTAGGTACAGGATAACCCCTTTTTTGGGGGTTATTTTAACTCCTAATATCATAGGTGAAGAATTACTCGTTAATTTTGGCGCGAAATTTCAGCGTTAATTTGTAATTTAACATGTGAAATTACCAAATTACCATGGCAACCTGCCGTACGTCTCCGTTTCAAGATGGCAAGGAAGTTTTAAAATGTCATAAATGAAGATGTCGGGGTATAAAAAGACGCTTTAGAAAACCTGAATACACGAAAGAGCACATCAAGAAGGATACTTAGAGGTATGTTGTGGAAAAATTCTGAAAACTTAAGACAAAATTTAGCTCTAAACGTTTGAGAGAGTGGAGTTCACGATCGATCGACACGATCCAGGAAAAAAAAACAAGTCAAAAATCCTCGATTGCTAACGTAATTCGTCACTCATGATATTAACAGGTAATTAAATGGTATACTCGTGAAATTAGGGAATAATTTCACTTGCGTTTTGTCCAAATCCTAAGGATTATAAGGATGTGGACAAAACGCGCGTGAAATTTTTCCTTAATTTCACTCGTCACCATTTGATTACACATACTAATTTAACTCCGAATTTGGGGTCATTTTTACTCCTGAAAAAGAATTCTTTTTACTCCCAGTCTGGAGTTAACATAACTCCGAAATGGGGTTGCTTTTACTCCTTACATGGGTTGTTTTTACTCTTTTTGGAGTTAATTTAACTCTGAAAGTGGAGTAAAAATTTTAGGTACAGGATAACTCCTTTTTTGGGGTTATTTTAACTCCTCAATATCTGGGGGTCACTTTTACTCCTGAAAAAGAGTTCTTTAAGCTCCCTTTTGGAGTTAAAATAACTCCCCAAAAAATAACTCCACTGTAAGGAGTTAAATTAGCCCCACTAGAGGAGTTATTATAACTCCTTGAAAATTACTTAACAATTAATGAATGAGGCGGAGTATCTTATGAAGAATTAAGGAGATCGAGGAGGGTGTTATCCGTTGAGGCCGTAGGCCGAGGCGGATAACACCCTCCAAGATCTCCACAATTCTTCATATGATACGAAAGCCGAATTCAATAATTGTTTTATTATTCATTCAAAATAATTCCTACTTTAAAAACGTGGCTACAACATGCTTACCTCCATCGATCCATCGATGTTAAGTTCATCTTGGATGGTGCACGTTTAGGTTTGTCCAGGTCCGCAAATATTCTCCAAATAGCAGATGTCGCCCTTCGAGTTGTCTTCTTGCTGTTCTTGCCATGTTTTTAGCTATTTTTTCGCCTAGTTCTTACTCTTGAAACGAGTGAAACGACCGCAATTTTTGTTTCGACAACCAAAACAACTCAACCTCGTCCCCAGGTCTTCGCGGTTAACGGTGCCTTAACCTGCACGAACGCTGCATTTTTGACGTCATTTCCTCGTTAAACACAAAATTCTTCCAAATTTGGTCATCAGTAACTGGTTATGGTGAATTAAACGTGTGCTTTTAGCCAATCAGAATCGGGGAAATATTTTGAATGAATAATAATATGTATTAATTGGTTGGTTACAGAAGTATAAAGAATAGTGGAAGTTTAATCTGTTGGTTTGCATAACTAAGGCAAGAAATAATCGGCAGGCGATCAAACATTGCAAATTCACTTTAGGGAACTGCATATTGGAAAGCAACCGTGGAAACTTAGTATCGCTACATATTCTGCGAAAAACATTCATTGTATACACGCAGTAACAAATTATATTACTATCCGTTCTGTACGCCCTAGGGAGCTTTTCAAATTTAAGCAATGCTGTGTTATTTAGTTCGTTAGGGAAATCAGAATAAATTTTGTTGCTCTGGTAAGATCTGTTGTACTATCGTGCTATTTTCACTCAAGTTTCATCGTTTAAAAAAGCTAGCAGGCAGTGAAGAAACTGCTTGTACTTCGTTCTTGATAAAAAAAAAACTTTGTCTCTAAAACCCATATCCTCAATGAAACTCGTACAGCTAACAGGAAATGGTAAGAGACCTTATTTTACCGCAGTAACTCGATCGGCACTCGGCAGTACAAACCTGAGGCCGACAGTGCAGTGCATTTGGTTTCTGTAGTTTTACACCCCTCTTTCCTTCACTGGTCCGTTTTCATGTATAGTAAAAAGCTACTTAAAGTTTCACGGAATTAGGAAACAACATTTTGAGATCACATCTGGGAATTCGCTTTCTTATTCTTTTGGAACAACGTGTCGCACAAAATCTCACACAGCTCAAAAGAAAAGGCCAACAATTCCTTTTCTTTTGACGCCGAAACTTACCTTTAGCCGTTACTCCTATACTATCCGCGGTAGTGTAACTTGACGGGGAAGTAAAAGTTGCTTTTCCCAACAGGTTGGAAGTGGCACTACCTGAAAACGAAGTTGTCTTGAAAGTGCCTGTTAACTGAGGCGTTGCCATGGCAGCCGATGGTAAACGTGTTGGCAGTTCCTTCAAGAATGATATCAGTACAGATGTGCCTCCCATTTGCTTAGAAATGACACCAGTTACACCTGATACCATATTGGTAGTTCTTGTTACCTGAAGGGTTGTCGGGGCTGCTGTCGACAAAAAGGTTGATTCTTGTTGTGTACTAGTCTTTGGAAAAGACGGACACGAAGTGACCATGTGTCCCTGTGTAACACCAGTGTCGTTTCTCGGGACTGTTTAGCACAAAAGAAAAAAAAAACATTCATTTATACAAAAAAAATATGAGATCAGTTTCATGACTAAACTAGCCTTCTTAACAACAGTTTCGTAGTATCCAGCAGGAGGGAAAGTTGATTACCTTTACTTTGCTAAGGTCCTTTCACGAAGAAAGCAATGGATTCAAGCGATTCGGCGCGGCGACAGAAAGCAACTTACTGTTACAGAGAAAACAAACCTAATAATGTTCGCTTCTCCTCAGAAGAGAAGAAGCACAAAAGCATATTTACACTGAACGTATTGACGAATTCATTAGCCGTGAATTAACGTTACGTACTGCAAACGTGTTACAATATTTAATAACTAGGTTTTTAATTGAACGCATTCAAACGAAATTTTCAGCACGTACTACAGACTAACTGCATTTCCTTAAATCCAATACTGTTACCTTTACAACCATACACTTCCACCCTCATTGATATATGCCCGTGCCAGGCTGTTGGTCGAAAGCGGATGTAGCGTGCTCTGATTCCACTGTAGAGCCTGTGCCTGACCACAGTGTCCGGATCTGTGTTTCCAAGAAACTCCTAGATATAAAAACCAACTGTGCTTGTAACTGCCTTTTAAAAACTATTAATGGGGAACAGACCAATTGTACGATGCGTTCTTATTACTACTAAGACCAGAATTCTTTTCGACTTTACTTTCAGAATTATTATTTAAACTTGGTAATCCAAGCTAGGTTTAAACAACACAAGCCCCAATTTGAACAAGAAAGCAAAACCCAGGGGAATTCCTGTGGTAGTATTAAAATGACACCATCGTGCAAATGGCCTATACGGCGTTTTCACTGACGTGCCAGCATCTATGCAAATTTATTGCAACAAAAGAAAGCGTTTACATACGAAAAGAGTTCAACTCCTAAAGGACTGGTTTGGAACATCAGCATGGCCGCCGTTTCATTCTGTTGGAACAACAACATGGCCGCCGTTTCATTGTTTTTGAACACCAACATAGCCGCCGTTTCATTGTTTTGGAACAACAACATGGTCACCGTTTCATTGTTTTTGAACACCAACATGGCCACCGTTTCATTGTTTTGGAACACCAATATGGCTGCCGTTTCATTGTTTTGGAACACCAACATGGCTGCCGTTTCATTGTTTTGGAACACCAATATGACTGCCGTTTCATTGGTTTGGAACACCAACATGGCCGCCGTTTCGTTGTTGTGGAACACCAACATGGCCACCGTTTCGTTGTTGTGGAACACCAACATGGCCGCCGTTTCGTTGTTGTGGAACACCAACATGGCCGCCGTTTCGTTGTTTTGGAACACCAACATCGCCACCGTTTCATTGTTTTGGAACACCAACATGGCTGCCGTTTCATTGTTTTTGAACACCAACATTGCTGCCGTTTTATTGTTTTGGAACACTAACATGGCCGCCGTTTCATTGGTTTGGAACACCAACATGGCCGCCGTTTCATTTTTTTTTGTAACACTAATATGGCTTCGTAACGTCATGTTACAAGCTCTACTGTGCATAACTATGTGAGGCTCCGAAAAAGTATCTGTGTGTGATACACGATGGTCGGTTGCTAGGACTTTGCCTCCCGCAACTTCTTAAATTCAATTTTTGGCTCACAGAGGAGTAGTTTTTATTCCAAATGAAACAAGACATTAAAAATCTTAATTAGTGAAAAATTTTCTTTAACTTTTTACCAATGTAAAGGTATTTTTCACGTTTCTTGAAAGTGTGACGTCATAAGTGGGACCTATTATTAGTATCAACACTATAAATTTGGTAAGCAGTATTCAAACTATTACAGACATTTTTGCTGCACAAACAAAATTATTTATAGTGATCTCAATCGAATAAAATGGCGTGAAGTTACAGCTAATTAAAGAAAATCAAATTTACCGCCAAATGACCATATATGGTCAAAATAAGGGTCATTTCAAATTCGTAGAATTTTATACAGATAACTAATATAAAATTTTCACCCTTCCTTTCCTTCCTTTCTGGTGCCAAATGTGGACATCATTTTGACGTCACAATAGCAGTCACATGGTATGAAAAAAAAACAATTAACAGGTACCTAATTTATCAACCTTCGTCCCTGCCAAGTTTTGTCACATTTGATGCGGTCTACTTCTGTCTATGGCCTAAAACTCTCAGTTTTGAGAGGTACATGGAAGAAAAGCCCTAGCAACCGAACACCGTGATATATCAAAGACTTAGGAATGCAAAGGAAATAAAAGAGTGCACACTTTTTTTGTATTTAGCCTGATAGACGTGCGTGCCGGGGGGATGGGGGCTCAAACGTTGGGGAACTCAGATTTTGGGGGGCAGCAGGAATATATTTTTTAAGAAGTTTCCGTGTTTTTTTTTTTTTTTTTGAATCGATACATATTTTCTATTTCAACCTAGTGTTTGCTTAGCACGTGATGAGTTTTAGGTTATTAGACAAGGAGATCATATGTTGATACAAATATTTGTTAGGCGCCCAACTGTACTGCACTAGCCGGTGTGGGGTATTTCCTGTCGGGAACTAATTAGGATCAGTTTCAGCATAACTTTCTACAATCGTATCCTACTTTATCGACTGGAGACCCTTAGGAGATCTGAGTCATGTGCTAGGCAACCACTGCCTCGTGTGAATTTAATTGCCATTTGCTTTACGTGCAAGAAGCCGGTTTAATTCACGCCCAAAGTTTCGTTTAAATGTGCAAAACAAATACGCATCATACACACGATTTTTTGTTTAGAATTCGCCTCGTGCCATATTAAACATGTCGAATCCAGCCCCACAAAAACGTTATACGGTCTATCGCCATCGCGTTACCTGTTCCGAATGCAAAAAAGACATCGTTGCTGATCATGAGTACCCAGACGTTCATGCAAGAACTAAGTATATAGGCAAGAAAGTTAAGTTTACTGTTTCTCGCTTGCGCCAAATCAATCGCAACAAGGTTTCACTGGCGGCGATGAAACAATCAGTATGCTTAAATGCAGTAAAACTGACGCCAAAAATGTTGACTCAGGTCTTCAGAACGACAGCAGTACAGATATAGCAGATGAATCAGAAATTACGGATAAAGGTAATTTGGATAAGTCAAATATCATGATATCGAAAGCACAGGTAATGGTGCTGACAATGATACTGGTGCTCCGGATGCGACAGAAATCGTAGATAATGGTGCTAACTATGAAATCGTGCATAGTGCTAATTGGGATATATCCATTTCAGTTGTCATTGATAATAGTGTTCCGGAAAAATCTTTTAAGTCAGTTATCATGGATAATGTTGCGCAGATAAGTCAGATATCGTAGATAGTGCGTACAATTCTTCCTTCGATACCAATGTGTATAGTGATTTATATAGTGGTGCCAAAAGACCAGTGATATAGACGAAGGTACTCAGCAACAGATCTTAAAGTGCTACGGCCCTAAAAATTCTAGTCTGGTACAGACGATATCTACAGCTGAACTACAACTGTGAAACGAAGAGAGAGTACTACTACCCATGCCAGAAATAGTTTAAGGCCAACAAGAGCGAGAAACATCAAACGTCCATAGCGAAATGGATTGAGAGCAGAGCAAATAAGAAGAGAAATACTTCCATACTGAGCAAACTCCAGGAATCACACAAACAATATGTGAAGGAAAGTGGCGACTACTTGAAAGTTATCATTGAATGTCTCATGTTCAAGACCCAACAGAACATCGAGGAACAATGTAATAGTTTGAGTAATAGCAGTGATGTAATTAGAGGTAATTTTCTGGAACTAATTCACTTGCAGTGCAAGGACATAGCTTGGCTGAAGGATAAAATCCATATCCACCTTCAGAAGCGCGCATAGTGGACATCTCCCTTGATACAAAACGAACTGCTCCAAATTATCGCGGCATTCATTCGCGTGCGTATCACAAACAAAGTGCGAGCCAGTGGATGTTATATGTTATCATCTCCGACAAAACATCAGACATTAGCAGAACAGAACAAGTTTCACTTTGCCTTAGATTCGCACTGAATGGAACGAAGAAAAAAGCATTCATCGGTTTCTACTCCACGAAATCAACCGAAGGGGAAGAACTGTCAGTATGAACTGGTGAAAGCTGCTATCACTGAACTCAATCTGGACCTTAAAAACGTTGTTGGTAAAACACTCGATAGGGCAGCTAATATGAACGGTGTACACAAGGGACTCTCAAAAAGAATGGCAGAGTGCTATGACACAGATTGAACCATTGGGAAGCGTCCTGGGGATTATACAGGCTCTTCTTAGAAGCGAGTCTCAAACGACACGTACTGTTTAGTGACACAGATCAAGTACAAGGTGAGAATCTAAAACTGACGCTGAAGTCATTGAGTGCCCCGTGATGGTCATGCCAGTGCAAAGCCCGAAAGGCCGTATACGGGCAAATGGAACGTACTGTAAAAGCCCTGCTCGCGCTGTGTTCAGACAAAGATCCGAAAACCTTCTCTGAGAGCAGAACCTTATTGACCGCGATTTATGACTCTAGAAGCCGAGCAGAAAATGTAGGCGAGATTTCCTCTGGTGGGCGGATTAGGCTACTTGATGACTTTTTCAGAAATACTGGAGACAATGCACGAGAATAATCTATATGATAAGTTTTCAGAGTTTTTTTTACTTGGTACATATCCCTGCAGTGATACCAGCTACATCGCGTTCTGCACAACGATTATTCATTGCTTTGCGCATATTTAAAACTTATTTTCGCAGCACATGGGGCAACAACGTGTTGTTAACATCGCAATTATTGAAAGGGCATACGCCACCTCTGTAGTCAACACTGACATAGATCGTATCAATGAGATCTTCCGCCGTCGAAATGGCAGATACAGCTATTTCTTTTAACGTGTTTCATGAGCCCATATGAAAGACTTTTTTTTTCAAATGTAAGAATATTTTCACTTCATACGAAGGCCTATGTTAGTGCATCCTATGACCCTCGTTTTTTTCCGACTGTTTCGCAAAAATTCGGGCGACTTGGGAGAATTTTTTCGGCAAAGTGTTCAACGCCCAACCACGCCCCTCAACCCCCTAAACGGCCCGTTCACCTATGCTTAAGTTAAAAGTCGCTAACAGTTACATATTATTGTTTATTCAAAAACGAGCGATTACACCGACATTTTTTCCAAACCACCAAGACCACGTACTTCCTTGAAGAGCTCTAGGTTACACCCTTATTTTCTAGAGTCTATATTACGTATAGCACCCTATCAATTACCTGTTAACTAAGCCTTCTTATCTGTAATAAAAAATTGAAAGATTGGCAAAAATAATCCTGAATTGGAGAAGCTGCACGTACACAGCACCAGCATAATCACATACTAGATGATGAGATGATGGTGATGATTATGATGCTGATGATGATGATGATGATGATGATGATGATGATGATGATGATGATGATAATGGTGGTTAAGAAATGTTGAGTTTCCAGTGAATCTACGTTATAAACGATAAAGTACCTTAATTTCGCATTGGTCAGAGTAGTACCGAAAGTTGGCACCGTCGTCGCTGTACTGCACTTTGTATTTAGTAACCCACTGTCCAAAATTATTTCTTCCTTGCGTTGCTAAACCAGTTATTTTGGTGAGCTGATTACCTAGGTCAATTTGGAACCACTGGTCGAGGTTATTAAACATGGCTGACCACGATCCTGCTTTACGGGGTGTTGCTAAATAATGCAGTCTTCCCTGGACAGCTGCATGATTGACGTCCCACACTGTAGAGGCCGTGATTTGCCCATCAGATATAACGCCGCTTTCCATGCCGAGAGCATCGTTGCAATCTTTAAATAAAGTGCAAACACCCATTAATATTTATAAAGAAAATACACGTGAATCCTCAGAGGCAAAGAACAAACGAGGGAGGTGATTCTTGTATGGTAGTAGACTTTTGTCCGACTCGCGGTGCGAGTCCGAAGAAAAAGAAAAAAATAAAAAGGAACAGCGAAGAACAAATGCAAGAAAATAAGAAAAGACACTGAAAACGATAGAGAGCATAAACAAAGGTCGCTGCGGAACAATGAAAGGCCTTTTGAGAGAAAAGAGAAAACGTTATTTCGAGACCGCCCACGATTTAACATTGTTTTTATTAGATGGATGAGAGTATTTTCCTGGGAACTAAAACAATTGTAGAACCGATATGACCCGATCATCCGGCAACCGTGTGGAGTATCGTTCGTATGCAATAGGAGTGGTCATATAGAGTAGCGAGGTCTCGATTCCCGAGAGCAAGAACACCAAAAATGAAAAATGAAGTATGATCTGATGATTTTCAGAGACTTTCTAGAAGGTTACGAAAAGTAAAGACAAGAAGCCGGTCATTACTCCTATGGAAAAATTATAAAAGCTCCATCTCTTCCCCCTACACTTATTGTCCATATACTCCATATAACAAAAAGGAATTGTACGTTAGCTAGAAGATATGAATATAGGTTTTCGTGGCAAAAAGTCATTTATTGAATAAGTAAATTTTCGTACACAACTAAGTTCTAGCCAATGAAAGAAGCAAACAATGTTTTTCACACGTGAAAAACTAAGACGTCCAATCAGAATCGGTTAAATTACAGCTCAAAGGACAACAATAATCAGCTGGCCTTACTGTTGGTTTGCAAAACTAAAGCAATAAGTAATCGGCAGGCGATCGAACATTGCAAATTCACTTTAGCGAACTGCATATTGGAAAGCACCCGTGGGAATCTCAGTATCGTTACATATTCTGCCAAAAAAATTAATTGTATATCCGCAGTAATAAATTCTATTAGCATTTACCAAATCAGTGAATAGCAATTTTCGCGCGTTTTGATTGGCTCCCGTAACTCGCAATATCATTGGCTATTCATTGTTTTCCGACCGGCGTCAAGATGGCGTCTTGTTTCAAAACCTTTTTGGGAAGACGAAATTTGAGCGATAAATGAAGCAGTCATACAAACAAATACTAAGAAAGCGACGAACTTTGGCTTGTCGGTGTTTACTGGTAGGTATAAAATTATTTTCATACTGAAGGTGCAACAAAATCATAAAACTGCACTTGACAAAATCCTCGAACTGTTTGTAAATTGTAAACAAAGTTTCTAATAAGTGACGCTTTTAATCTGCAAAAAGTTATATTTTTTTTCATCCAACTGATTGGGTAAATACTAAAACAACTATGCCCCTATCCCCCCCTTCGCGTCTCGGTATATATGCAGCGCTCTTCACCTCCCCTTCGGGCGATAGTTGTATATTACGTGCGCCCTTGAGATCTTTTTCAAATTTCAGCAACGCTGTGTTGGTTAATTCGTTAGAGGAATAAAAATGAACAATGTATTTTGTTGTTCCGGTTGGAGCCATTGTACTATTGTGCTATTTTCAATTGTTTAAAAGAGCTTAGCAGGCAGTGAAGAAAATGCTTATTCTTCGTTCAAAATAGAAAAAACTTTGTCTGTCAAACCCATCTCCCCAATCAAAGTCGTACAGATAACATGTAAAGGCAAAGGGCCTTATTTTACCGCAGTAACTCGAGCGGCAGTACAAACCTGAGGCCGATGGTGTATTTGGTTTCTGCAGTTTTACACCTCTCTTTCCATCACTTTTCGTTTTACGTGTATAGAATAAAGCTACTTAAAGTTGTACGGAATTAGGAAACAAGACTTTGAGATCACATCTGGGAATCGAACTGGGAACCACTTACAAAGAGCCGACTGTGCTAATCCTTGGTTTCTGCAGCTGCTATTCAGAAGGTAAAAGTTCGAACTCTGACTTACTAATCCCCGATAATTCCTTGTATTATTTTAATCCTTCCCTTTTGCTCTCTTACGCTGTCTCTGTTTCTATGATTCTTATTCATTTTCTTATAGAACAACGTGTCGCACAAAATCTCACACAGCTCAAGGTAAAGGGCCAGCAATTCCTTTTCTTTCGACGAAAACCTAGCCTGAATTTAATCCGATTACTTCGAGTAGTTAGTACTCCCTCAGTAACGTCTGAATCGACCGGCTGTTACTGCCGTCCAGTGACGTCACTACTCCTTGACCTTTGCTTTAATTCATGCAAAAAGTAAAACACGATTTTCAAGTGGCAAACCGAGAAATATCGTTTGCAAATGTCTGCATGATACAGAACTGCTTTATTTTTTTCGATTGTAATTCATGTTTAACGTTCAAACTATCAACTGCATGCAGTACAACTCTGAACCGGTTGTACTAAATTCTATAATCAAACTCGGTCGCAATCACGCAATAAAATAAACACGGAACACTTTCATAGTTCAAAACACAATGATTTGCTTTAAATGAAAAAAAGCTATTTGGTCCTTAACGAAGAAAAAAAAACAAGGAAACAAGAAAGAAAAGCTAACAGAATCATTACACTTGACGGTAAAAATAGCAAGAAGGTCGAATTATAAAACTGATCTCGGAAAACTTCGCGTAAACAAAATCGCCGGCCGCCGAAACCACAGAGCGGCTCTAAATGAAAAACCTACTTAACTCTCCGCAATGATTCTTCATTCGCAGATGAATTTAGCATTTCAGTTTCGAAGGCAAGGGCAATTTTGCTGTTTAAGATAAAGATTAAGCTTGTCGAAATGTTTGAACTAAACGAAAGAATGCCAGGGATAGGATCCGCTGAATATCACGCGACAATCCCGCTAAAATTTTTCATAATTACACATAATTTTGCGAATGTTTAGACAATCAACCAATCAAAATCACTACCCGGTTTTCGGGTAGTGAGTGACGTCACTGGACGGTATTAACAGCCGGTCGATTCAGCCGGTCGTTGTTGAGAGGCGAAAACGACTTGTAGCAATCGGATGAATTTCAGGCTAACGAAAACCTACCTTTAGCCGTTATTCCTATACTATCCGCGATATTGTGACTTGACATGGAAGTAAGAGTTGTTTTTCCTAACAGGCTGGAAGTAGCACGACCTGAAAAGAAAATTGTCTTGAAAGTGCCTGTTAACTGAGGCGTTGCCATGGCAGCCGATGGTAAACGTGTTGGCAGTTCCTTCAAAAATGACATCAGTACAGAAGTGTGTCCCAGTTGCTTAGAAATGACACCAGTTACACCTGATACCATATTGGTATTTCTTGTTACCTGAAGGGTTGTCGGGGCTGCTGTCGAGGAAAAGGTCGATTCTTGTCGTTGTGTACTAGTCTTCGGAAAAGACGGACACGAAGTGACCATGTGTTCCTGTGTTACACCAGTGTCGTTTCTCGGGACTATTTAGCACAAAAGAAAAAAGAAATATTCATTTATGCGAAAAAATCTGACATCAGTTCTATGACTAAACTAGACTTCTTAACAACAGTTTCGTAGTATCCAGCAGGAGCAAAAGTTGATTACCTTCACTTTCACTTTCACTTTCACGAAAGCAATGGATTCGAGCGATTCGGCGCGGCGATGCAAAGCAACTTACTGTTACAGAGAGAACGAACCTAATAATGTTCACTTCTCTTCGGAAGAGAAGACGCACGAAAACATATTTGCATTTGGTGTATTAATGAATTCATTAGCCGTGAATTAACGACGGGAATGCTAGGCCGGTCTTTACTGTTACGTACTGCAAACGTGTTACAATATTTAATAAGTATTTTTTTTATTGAACGCGTACAAAAGAAATTTTGAACACGTTCTACGGACTAACTGTATTGCTTTAAATCGAATACTATTACCTTTACACCCATACACTTCCACCCTCATTGATATATGATTGTGCCAGGCTGTTGGTCGAAAGCGGATGTAGCGTGCCCTGATTCCACTGTAGAGCCTGTGCCTGACCACAGTGTCCGGATCTGTGTTTCCAAGAAACTCCTAGATATAAAAAACCAACTGTGCTTGTAACTGCCTTTCAAAAACTAATAATGGGGAATAGGTCATTCGTACGATGCCGTCTTGTTACTACTAAGACCAGAATTCGTTTCGATTTTACTTTCTGAATTATTATTTAAATTTGGTAATCTTAGCTAGGTTTAAACAACAAAAGCCCCAATTTGCACAAGAAAGCAAAACCCAGGGGAATTCCTGTGGTAGTATTAAAATGACACCATCGTGCAAATGGCCTATACGGCGTTTTCACTGACGTGCCAGCATCTATGCAAATTTATTGCAACAAAAGAAAGCGTTTACATACGAAAAGAGTTCAACTCCTAAAGGACTGGTTTGGAACATCAGCATGGCCGCCGTTTCATTCTTTTGGAACAACAACATGGCCGCCGTTTCATTGTTTTGGAACACCAATATGGCCGCTTTTTTATTTTGTGCAACACCAACATGGCCGCCGTTTCATTGTTTTGGAACACCAACATGGCTACCGTTTAATTGTTTTGGAACACCAACATGGCTGCCGTTTCATTGTTTTGGAACACCAATATGGCTGCCGTTTCATTGTTTTGGAACACCAATATGGCTGCTGTTTCATTGGTTTGGAACACCAATATGGCTGCCGTTTCATTGGTTTGGAACACCAACATGGCTGCCGTTTCATTGTTTTGGAACACCAATATGGCTGCCGTTTCATTGGTTTGGAACACCAACATGGCCGCCGTTTCATTGTTTTGGAACACCAACATGGCCACCGTTTCATTGTTTTGGAACAACAACATGGCTGCCGTTTCATTGTTTTGGAACACCAACATGGCTGCCGTTTCATTGTTGTGGAACACCACGTGGCTGCCGATTCATTGTTTTGGAACACCAATATGGCTTCGTAATGTCATGTGAAAAGCTCTATTGTGCATAACGATTTGAGGCTCAGATAAAGTATCTGTGTGTGACATCATTGGCAAAAATTTAGGAATGCAAAAGAAAGAAAGAAAAAAGTAATCTATTTTTGTGATTAGGTATAGGCGTACGGACCGGGGGGTGCTGGGGCACTGCAGCTCCCCCAAGATTTGGGCAAGTCAGATTTTGGGGGCGAGCAGGAGAAATTTTTTAAAGAAGTTTCGATGTTTTTTTTTCGAAGAGATAGATATTTTCTATTTCAACCTTAAGTCGGCGTGGTAAAGCCAGTTAAATTCTCACGAGACATTGTTTGCCTAGCACGTAATGAGTTTATGGTTATTAGAGAAGTGGATCATATGTTGATATACATATTTGTAATTTTTTATTGTTAAGATCTGAGTCATGCATGTGCTAGGCAACCAATGTCTGGTGTGAATTTAACTGGCTTTACCATTTGCTTTACGTTGGAAAAGCCAGTGCAATTCACGCCCCTAGTTTCGTTTAAATGTGCGCGACACTGGAAACAAATACGCATCATACATGCGATTTTTTGTTTAGAATTCGCCTTTTGCCATATTAAACATGTCGAATCCAGCCCCACAAGAACGTTATCGGTGCTCTCTCCATCGTGTTACCTGTTCCGAATGCAAATTAAAGGGTGCCTAAGGCTAAATTGTGGATTATTAATTACCGTATTTTAGAAATGAAGGCTGTTAATGAACCTGCAATTGGTGCTACCGGTATATTTTAAGTTTGTCAAAAAATGAAAATATCTTTTACGAAAAAAAAAACAAACAAAATAAAACAAAAAGACAAAAAAAAGAAAAAGAAAAAAAACTTCCGACGGCGAGAGTCGAACCCTGGACGATCAACGTGATAAGAGAACGCGTTATCTATTGCGCCACAACAGTTAGTAGCACTGTTAACATGATCATCCTTAACAGTTTTGCCAATAAAGTTCTGCTTCTTAGACCCTGTTTTCATGTAGTGGGGTACCCCGGTCTAATGGGGTAAGTTTCTTTTGTTTTTTGTCCTCCAGATAGTGACACAGATCAAGAAAGAGGTGAGGATCTGAAACTGACGCTGAAGTCATTGAGTGCCCCGCGATGGTCATGAAAGCCGGAAAGGCCGTATACGGGCAAATGGAACGCATTGTAAAAGCCCTGCTTGGGCTGTCCGCAGACAAAGATCCGAAAACCTACTCTGAGAGCAGAACCTTATTGACCGCCATTTGCAACATGGAGTTTATCTTCGGACTGTGTGTGCTGAAAGTAATCCTGAGCAACACTAATAACCTGAGCCGATATCTTCAGAGGAACACGGTCGACGTCATCTTCGCTCGTAGAAATGCCGACATGACCATTCAGACCCTGCACCAGTGTCGGAGTGAAAAAAGTTGCAACAGCGTATGCTAAATAGCATCAGCAGTGGGTCTGAAAATCAAAAATAACTGACCAATTCTCAGTTTGAATTACGAGAAGCCATTGCACCCAGACAAATGCCATCGCGCTGCCTTCAAGTCCTTGTAGGTGAACACGTGCAAAGACCAACGCAGCTGACACTGGAATCGTACCACCGTACTAACACTTACTATGCGTCCATCAACAAGGTGCTGTCCGAGCTTGAGCTCAGGTTCAGCGGAAATGATCAGGAAATACTCTGTGCTTTGGAAAATATCTGTCACAGTGAAACAACTGATAAAGGGAGCTTCTCCCGCGGTGCTAAATCTTACAAAAATCGACGGCGAGACTCTGGAAGCCGAGTAGAAAATGTAGGCGAATTTTCGTCTTGTGCGCGGATTAGGCTACTTGATGACTGTTTCAGAAATGCTGGAGACAATGCACGAGAATGATCTATTTGATATGTTTTCAGAGTTTTCTTATTTGGTACATATCCCTGCAGTGATGCCTGCTACATCGCGTTCTGCACAACGATCATTCATTGCTTTGCGCAGATTGAAAACTTGCCTCCGCAGCACATGGAGCAACAACGTGTCGGTAACAGCGCACTTATTAATATTGAAAGGGCATATGCCAACTCTGTAGTCATAGATCTTATCAATGATATCTTTCATCGTCAAAATGGCAGATCCTGATTTCTTTTAACGTGTTTTATGAACCCATATGATAGATTTATGTTCATGTGTAAGAATATTTTCACTTCACATGAAGGCCTTTGTTAGTGCATCGACCGTTTCGTAAAAAATCGGGAAACTTGCGAGAATTTTTTTGGCAAATTGTTCAACGCCACACCACCTTCCCCCCCCCCCTCCCTCCTTAAACGACCCGTTCGCCTATGCTTAAGTTACCAGTTACATGTTGATACTTCTTCAAACACGAGCGATTACACCGATTTTTTTTTCCAAAACACCAAGACCACGTACTTCCTTGAAGAGCACTAGGTTGTCGCCTTTTCTCGCGTGGGGTGATTTTCACGCGCGCTCGCGTTTCGCTCGCTCTACTATACCTGAGGAAAAATGGGGGACTACTCGTAGTCTAGGTTGCACCCTTATTTTACAGAGGTTATATTAAGGATAACACCCTATCAATTACCTGTTAATTAAGTCTTGCTATCTGTAATCAAATTAAATTGACAGATAGGCAAAAGTAATCCTGCACTGGACAAGCCGCACACACACAGCACCAACATAATGAGATACAAGATGATGATGATGAAGATGATGATGGTGATTAAGATAATGTTATAAACGATAAACTACCTTAATTTCGCATTGGTCAGAGTAGTACCGAAAGTTGGCACCGTCGTCGCTGTACTGCACTTTGTATTTAGTAACCCACTGTCCAAAATTATTTCTTCCTTGCGTTGCTAGACCAGTTATTCTGGTGAGCTGATTACCTAGGTCAATTTGTAGCCACTGATCGAGGTTATTAAACCTAGCTGACCAGGATCCTGCTTTACTGGGTGTTGCTAAATAATGCAGTCTTCCCTGGACAGCCGCATGATTGACGTCCCACACTGTAGAGGCCGTAATTTGCCCATCAGATATATCACTTCTCTCCATGCCCAGAGCATCATTGCAATCTTAAAAATGAAGTGCAAATATTCATTAATAATTTGAGCCAGCGAGATGATTGTTATCTGGTAGCAGACCTTTTCCCGACACGCCGTGTTAAGTCCGAAGGAAGGAGAATGAAGAGCAGATGCAAAATATAAGAAAAGACACTGAAAAGGTAGAGAGCATAAATGGCAAAGGTCGCTGCGGAACAATGAAAGGTATTTTTGACAGAAACAAATGATGAGAAAACGTTAACAAGCCTCAGTTTTTAATAATCATCAGGCCAAGGATTTGGGGGGAAATGAAAAGATCTTTTACAGAAATTGTTCAAGCCATTTAATAACACATATTTCGTGCTTTATCAAGTTGAAACAGACAATCGATTCGTGTTTCTTCTCTATCCTCTGTAAAGTACTCATGACAAGCTCGTTTTATGTAACTTTACCGAGGCAAAACCCGTTCTTAAAATTAGTGAAGTGGGCAAAAAGCTGCCGTGCAATCTCAAGCTATGAGAACATCACAAATTAATAGCTTGAAATCAAATTTTATAGCAATTGGCTGGCACTTTTCGGCGTTATTCGTGATCAACAGTTTATTAATGAGTCTCGACTGTAATAAACAACTGAGACATTACTGTACACGTGCATATTATAAAGAATACGCGTTTTTCTCACTGGCTAAGATATATCTAAATCTGTTAAAATCAATTAAGATTTAGCAGAGAGTTGTACCTTTTTATTACAATCGCGAAAGACGCGAAATTAAAGACCCGCGAAAATGAGACAGTCGAACCTCTCGGTACGTACACCTCTCTAATACGGACACCTCTCCATTACGGGCAACTTCCAATGTCCCAACAAAATTTTCATATATTTTCTTTAAAAAAACCTCTATAATACGGACTCTCGATACGGACAACGGTCACTAAATCTCGGCCCCAGAGAGTAAATTCACATAAATTTAACTTCTTTATTACGGACACTGCGGTGATCAGGTGAATTCCGAATTCCGATCAGGTGAGTCTGCACAGGGTAAATCCCGTCTAGCTGATGAGCTATGCAAGGCTATTTCAAAAGCCCAGTCGTTATATATCAAACAACGGTTTGCGATAGGTGTACAGAGGAACATAACCGACTTTTTTAAGGCTTGAATAACTACAGATAGCATAAAGATCTTTTCTATTACATTTTGTACTCTAGTTACTGTTTACTGCACTTGCAAAATAGCGAAAGGCGCTTTCAGAATTGTGCTTTACGTTACAACTTTTTACTTACAGCATTGCGCTGTAGCTCGTTTCGTTTTAAAACAGTGATTAGTCTACGACTGTGCTTACTTTGTAGCTGAGATGTACAATGTCGTATATATGCTACTGAAAGACAGTGTCTTTGTACTGTGAATTGATAAATTTAAATGCCGTTTAAAGACGAGTGTGAGCCTGGTTTTAGCTACTGAACACTAAAAACTGTAAGTGGAGTCATAGAAGTGACGTCGTTGTAGTGACCTCTTTTAAACGGACACCTCTCTAATACGGACACTTTGCTCTGTCCCGTATTAGAGAGGTTCGACTGTACCAAGAAGGTAATTAGTTGTTTCGATCGCAAACAAGAAAATACCCAAAAATTCCAAGCAGAGAAATATGACTGACTATTTAGCAGCATTGTAACATTACATATCATCTAGACTTTTTTCACTAATTTATGCACCACGGCTTTGAAAATGTGCCCGGCGTTCAAAAAATATTTTCGATGCATTTTAATACATATGTTAAAGATCAAATTTGTTTTCAGATTAATTTTGATTTAACCTATATTGATTCTCAATTTCCTTTGCCTCCTCGCCCTAGGAGACAAAAGAAATTGAGAATCGACCGAGGTTCAAACATTTTAAGCCAAAATCAGAAATTGGAACCGTAACACATACATATAGAGGTTTTTTGCAAATACCACACGGAACTGCTAACATGTGCCGTGCTTAAAAACGTGTGCAAATCGCGCCGGTTATGCTCCGGCCGTTTATATCCTATTATCCTTACCTGTTGCTGTGGCAACAGATGATGCCAGTTTTCCTGTATCCCCGGCAACGCGGCTCGACAGGGGAGACGAAGTCGCTTTTCTCAACAGTTTGGTTGTAGAATAAGCTGACAAAAAGGTTTCCTTGCAAGAGCTTGTTAAATGAGGGGTTGCCATGGCCGATGACCTTGAATAAGTTGATAGTTCCTTAGTGGACGACATCAGTGGAGATTTGTGTCCCAATTTCTTAGAGTTACCTCTTATCGAACCTGCTATCATGATGGAAGTCCTTGCTACCTGAGGCCTTTCCAAGGTCGCTGCTGTTGGCAAATGCTTGACAGATAAAAGCAGAAGAGATGTGTGTCCCAGTTGCTTAGCATAAAAACTGGTTGTCACTGCTACTATAGTGGCAGTTCTTGGGCGCTTTCAATTCAACAAAAATTTCGGTTTGAAATTTCGGTCAAAGTGGACTACCTTCGAAGCTGGTCCCCAATATTTAGGTCGGAGCAAACCCAAATGACCCGTTCCATTTGATGTACGAACCAAAATTTTCGGAATTTTTTGTTGAATGGAAAGCACTTCTTCTTACCTGAAGCGCTTTCGGAGCTGCTGTCGACCAATGGTTCATTTCCTGTTGTGTACCGGTCGTTGGCCACGACGCGCGTGAACTGAATATCTCTCCTTGAGTGACAACAGTGCTGTTCGTTGGGACTGTTTAACGGGAAATAAATAATGCATTTTTTACTAAAAAAAAAACACTAATAAAAAATGCCAGTACCGTTTCAAAAATATATAGCCTGAATAACAGGTGTCGTTCACCCAAGCAGGGAAGCCCACTTTACTAGGCGTGTATTGGGAGGCAGTGGTCTAATCATTCATGGTGAGTGTATAACTACTCCTATATCGAGAAATAGAAGATATAACGAAGAGACAAAATTCTCTGTTACTCCGAGTTTCGTGCTCACGCACTCATCAGACAGTATTTAATGGAGAATAAACCTATCAAGTTATACATATACACGCTTCTATTGATTACAAAAAGCAGGGCAGTGCGGTTCTAATTACAATTAGGTGTGAGGAAAAACTAATAGAGTGTTGTTTTTGAGTCAATTGTTCCTAAGGTAAAACTTGTTTTCGTGGCGGCACTTGGAAATCAGTTCTGATCTTTTATTTAGGATTCTGTCGGGGTTTGCAGTAATGATCATTAGTTTCACTGTTAAGCATAGGTCGCATCGTTTAGAAATGTTGTTGTAGGGTCTTGCACGGCTGATTATAGTCCATTTGATGTTGAAGTCTTGATTATGGTCACGTAGTTTCCAGATGTAATTGGAGAGTTCGGTGCTGTTCGTGTATTTCCTGTGTTTAAATGTCGCTTTGTGTTGTGAAAATCTTTGTTTAAACGTTCCTTCTGTCAGTCCGATATAGTTCTTGGTTGCATTGTTTGTAGTCACTTGTGCGTTGCAGATTACACTGGAGGTCAGGCATTTGTTGTCAAGCGGGCATTGGTCTTTGTTACGGCAATTGCATTGTACTTGGTTATCTGAGTTGGTGTCATTGTCGGCATTAGTTACTTTCTTGTTGTGTTTGTTGATGATCGATTTCATGTTGTCCATACAGCTGTAGCTAACTTTGACGTTATTCTTGTTGAAAAGGCTGTGGTATTTGTGCTGTTTCGGGAAGTGCTTAGAAATAAGTTCGTGAAATAGATACATATTAAGAAATAGATACAGATGTACCGGTAGATCAATTTAAATATAGGGAAGACTACTGTGGCTGTATTCAAGAACAAGAGTACACGGCAAAAACTTAATTTAAAATCACTTGTCTCGGCTTCCAGTGAATGGTAAACTCATTTCGAAGCGGGGGTGGAAGGTGTCTTGTGACTTGAAGTGGGGACGAGGAGAACTAACCGTTTTTGAAAAGAGGCGTTTTCGGTGACAGTTTACACAGAATCCGTGTGGACGGTGGGCCCAACCGGAGAAAAATACCTCCGTTTTCAAACAAAATCAGATACCTGTAGACGGGGCCTAAAGAACACTCTTTGTGCTCGCACTGTTTCTAGTTGTTCCTTGTTTTCGTTTTTTTCTCTTCGTGAATTTTTCTCCCGCGCTCTACTATCTGAACGCCGGGAACAGGCTAGCTTAAATATAGGACTTACACCTGTACGCAAGAATAATGTTTTCGTTGTAAGTCTGTTTGCCAGAATTTTTATCCGAAGTGACTCTCCCATCCCCTCCCCTCAATAATCAAAAGGTCGGGGAGCACCATCGCAGTGGGGACGAAATACGCAACTCCTTGGATTCGGAGTAATCCTTCCGCCATCTTGTCTTTCTGCATTGACGTGACGACGAAGTGGACTTTGCCATATGACTATGACTTTGCCATAGGCAGCCCATAAACGTTATTCTATCAGTCGTCACTCACAACAGTGCTTCATGCCAACCCTGACCTTTGCTGGAAGTTTAGTGGGTCTGCTAGCCAAAAAAACAAAATTTTTGGAAGAGTCTATGGGGTGATAGAAACTCCCCAAGCATAGCATTCCAACCATAGGGTTAACTGTCCGATAAAGTGTTATGCAACGGTCATCCGAAGAGAAACACTACAATGCGGGTTTCGTAAAAAGAGATGAGCCAGCAGCTAAGTTAGCCATTCGACATGAGTTACAGACTACTCTCGTACATATAACCACTGCAATTATTTTTCAAACGTGCAGGATCCCTTCCCGGGGAGGGGAACTACCTTATTTGGCCTAGGCGGGTATGTGCCGCTAAACAGGGTATGGTTTTCACGTTCTTGAGTCTTAAACAAGGTAAATGTACAGTTTCACTAATTCGTGTCTTGAACAGGGTGACTTTTTGCACGGAAAGCATTAAGAACAGTTAGAGGGTTGGCAATGCGCGGTGTACATGGATAGTACCAACAATTTGCTTTCAAAAAAAGATGTAGCTCCATGATGCTAGTGTAAAAGCACTTAAATTGTTATGCGAAAAAAAAAAGAATCACAGTCGTTAAAGTACGTCTCTCAACTCTTAAGTCTTAACTCTTAAACAGGGTAGCAAAATGAACAATTTTGTCTTTAACAACAAACCAAAAATTCCATACCGCCAAGAGAACCGTTTGGTGTAACATGGACAAATTGGTCACCAAGGAGTTTTAACTTTGACCGCAGGTAACCCAGTTTCACCAAAATCACAGGTTACGACAAAAGATCTGATAATTGTGTGTGTGTGTGTTTTCAAAATGAACCTTGGAACATCTTTAATGAAATTTACTTAGTTCAAAAAAACTCCGACTAAATGTGTAGAAACATCTGGCAAAGTGTTTTGCACCTTGATTGCAACGAACGATGGCTCCTTGTATCAGTACAAACTGCTTTGCATTTACCTATTCCTTTATTTTCTCTAATCTACAGATTTCTGGGGTAATTGTGTTTACACATTGGACGCGATATGTGGGATCGAAAACTGTGATTTTTTTCAGCGTTTTTATGCGTCTCGCGCCACCTCCTTTCGAATAATGCCCCTCCTCCCTTTACAGTGCGAGTAAATAGATATTCTACTAAAGATTCCATCTCTTTGAGTTTTTCTATTTCGTAAAGCTCTGCGCTTTTCATTACACCTGGTCGACTCTGGTGAAAGTGAAATAGAGGAAAAATACTGAACGTTGCATCAAGTTTTGTGACTGTTCCTTTTATTTTAAAAGCTTCTTCTTTTTAGTCTATTTGGGTGTTTAGTTGGTATTTCCTTCGGCAGCTCTACATTTTTTGGTAGTTAAAAGTAATTTTATTAGTAGTTTAATTGCTCTGTGGTGTAGTTCTAAAAGTGTTTATATACTCTCTATCTGTGAATTTCATTTGTGAGAACTGCGCCTTAGCCAGTTTTTCGTCCATCGGCAAAAAAGATCTCTTTTTCTACAAGGTGCACCCGATCCTCTGGGAAGGGAGAGGGGGGGAAGCATTCAAGGGAAGTTTAGTTATAGGGGTGCCGCCGAGCCCTTCAAACTATCACCCTGTTAAGTAGCGATCTCACAATTAAGTGGCTTGCCTCTCTGTTGGGATTAGTTTCATTTTAAACGACATTTTGTCTGGACTACTCTGGACGATATTTGCAAACGACTGTTCTTCACATTGGTGGGAAGCGAGTGCTCTCACCACTGCGCCAACCTTGCTCCCAATCAGGGAAATATGTCTCTTATATCCCTTAGAAACGCCAATACTAAATCCTACATTATAACCTGGCGTTTAATTGGAGACACACGCGTTGCTCTTGCAAGCATAATAAAGGACTTGTTCTTCCTTTATGTTGTATAAGCTGCCAATTTGGTCAGAGACCTTGATGGGCCACTTTAAATTTGGATCACGAAGTCTTGACCATGTCCTCCTCGCTGGTTAAGTCTATAGTACAGTGTGCGTAAAGTAATATTTAGCGCTAATACCATAGTTGTTATAGTACAACAACCACAGTGATGCACAGCGCATACAAATTGGGTTTTAAAGCCCAGCACGAGAACTACTAATTTCAGCTATCTGCTTCAGTGCAAATATGTAGAGAGAAAGGCAGAAAAATGTACAAAAATGCAAGGCAACCGTTGCACAGCCCATTACCAAGAGGACTGGTATAAGGGAAGTCTGGTCCATCGTACGGCACCAGAGATCTGGAGCGTCATGACGGCAAGAAATTCAATGACCATAAATAATTGTACATGTATTAAGGGAAAGAAATCATTTTAAATTCATCTGTTCGTTGCGGTTTGAAAATACGTTGCAGAGAACTGAGCGTGACCCAAACTGCTGCTTAACGTCCTTAAACGGAGATAAAATATTCTTTTAATAATTTCAATTCTTTTGACAGGTCTTATCAACTTAATTTCTTTAACCAGTTTTTATCCTTAAAAAAGCAAAAACCGAATTAATTAAAAGGGCCACCTCTGGCTAAACTATTCCTTGACTGACCAAGACCAACGACGATCAAGAAGTAAAAGCAGGCGCCCGTTCAACGGTGATTATCAATTTGTGTACACACGGCAAATTCATTTCCTCTTCGAAGAATTATGCCATCTGAATTAGAATTGATGCTATAACTTGAAGTGTATAAATTATGGGTTAAAACGTAGCAGGGGCACCCAAAGACAATTTTCGGAAAATATCTGTTCGGAAGACGATTTGACATCTACAATTTTCGGAACATTTGTTGTAAAATTTCTTGCTTGCCTGCCTCTCCTAGGATTTTCGAACATCTAAATAATGATATAATTGCCTATTTTTAACGGAGTTTTACCCTAAAAAGGTCACCTAGAATTTTCGGGAGCCTTTTTTCTGGCTGAAATTTTCGAAAAGGTAAGTTTTGATCCCTATAATTTTCGGATCATTAGACTTTCAGCTAGGAAATCCGAACAGATGAAAAATTTTTAGGGGATAAAGACATGCCTATATCTACCGTTTAAATACTAAAATACGTTTAACAATGCTATGTTTAAGTGGTTTTGAACTATATTCTCGTTGGGTGCCCCTGAACGTTGACGCTGCTTTGTAACAGTATATTACTATAAGAGGGACGCAAAAGAAAGACAGGAAAACGAAGTAACTTACCAAGAGGCCCAAGTTCAACCACACGAAAGCACTGACAAATAATCACAAGCATAAAGCAGATCCAAGTCATACTCACGAAATACCTAGAAGGAACAGATGTTTCAAAATAACCAATATGTTTGAAATAATGTTTCGAAATAACTTACATGTTTGGGCAGCAAAACATAAATATTGTAAGGATAACTCTAAATTTCGGGATAAATTACCCCGATCGATCTTATACTGTTCACCACAAAAACTAGTGACTATTAAGCTTTCCGCGCTCTTGATTAACATTTAGTAAGGCATAATATGACAATAAATACTTACTAGATAAGCGTCACCTATAAGACATTGGGAATGTATTCAAATGCTAAATTAACGACAATGATGGACGTCAAGAGAAGTTTTCTGTATACTTTTAATACTAATATATAACTTAAAACATGCATAGGCGAAAAAAAGTTCCAAAAAAATTATTCATATATAGTGCTAGCCTGCGTAGCTGGCGATAATGTGTTGGCGCGATTACAGTTTCCGCCCCGCTTCCTGTTTCGAAAGAATCGTTTTTAACGTACTTGGGTTTTCATTCTAAGTCTCTTCCGTTTTATAGTTCTTTATTGACTTATGTTAATGAGCCAGTCTCTGGGTGCCAACATCTCTTTTATGCACGATTAAGATGTTTTTTTTACCAAGCGTGGGCTTCGTCGTGACATGTGCAGTGTCACTATTGATATTCTTTTGAATGCTTTAGGGCATTTTAATTTGTCTTGTATGCTTTATGTTTGCACGCATGCTGCTTTTCCAGTTGCCTTTTTTTCCTTTCTCCGCATTTCTAATTTGGTGCCATATTCTTTTGGATGATCTTTTATCCACAGCAATTATTTTCTTCGGCGCAAGGATGTTTCCTTCACACCCACTGACGCAATTTTGCAAGTTTACAGTAGCAAAACTATTCATTTTCGTCAGTTCTTTCTTGAGATTCCTTTACCATTTGCCCGGGGGGGGTACTCCCTAATATGGGCTCTACAGGTATGTGCGGCCCCAAAGGGTAGGGTTTTTCAGCCGTTTTGGTCATAAATTGGGTATCGATTTTGGCTATTTTGCCGCCATTTTGGTCATAAATAGGGTAACGATTTCTGCACTGTAGTCTTAACTTTGCAGTCTTATAACCTACCTAATAAAAGCAGATAAACATTGCCTTTAACATTGGTCTGAAACTAGGGAAATAATTATAAGGCAGGTCTGAAACAGGGTATTGATTTAAGGGTCAGGTCATAAATAGGGTATCAAATTTTTGGTTAGGTCATAAATAGGGTAGGGAAAATCGCAGATTTTGGTCATAAATAGGGTAAGGGTTTTGGGAAGCGGGCCGCACACCCCTACCCAATTTTTCTGCGAGTACCCCCCCCGGGACCATTTGTTCCTAATTCGGTTTTGTGCCCCCTTATTGCATTGTCTCGTTATTTACGCTCCGTGCCAGCGCCTCTGTTTGTTGTTTCGCAAGGTGCCAGCCTTCGGCCTACCCTCGCGGCGCATTTCAATCGGTTTTTCAGAGCTTGCGTAGTTTCTGTAGGTCTTAACCCAGGTTTTTTTCTTTCCCGGAGTTTTCGTGCTACTTTTGCTTCCAATTGTGTCGCTTCTACTGAGGTGATTAAAGCGCAGGGGATTAACGAAGCGGCGCCTGTTTAATTTATCTCAAGGTTTCCCCTTGCCACTTTACTTGACACTTTATACTCCATTTCTTCCAGGCTTG